TCTACAGAAGAACATGATTTCAAAGAACAATAGTATGGGAATAGTGGTAGACAACGAAGTCTTTTATTTTTTAAAGTATTTATTTGCTTTCTGTTTTTGGCTATGCTGGGTCTTCATGGCTGTGCATGGGCTTTCTCTAGTTGCAGTGCACAAGGGCTACTCATCTTATCAGAGCACAGGCTCTAGACACATGGGCTTCAGTCGTTGTGGCTCTTGGTCTCTAGAGCAAGGGCTCAATAGCTGTGGCTCACCGGTTTAGTTGCTCCACAGTATGTGGAATCTGCCCGGATCAGGGATTGAACCTGTGTCCCCTGCATTGGCAGGTGGATTCCCATACACTGTACCCACTGGGAAAGTCCAGGAAGAAATATTTTAACATCTGCTCCCTGGTGCTTCTGAGAAACAACCAGATCACGAGACACATTCTGAAGATATTCACATCATCTTTGAAGCAGAAGTGTTTGTTCCAGTTTTCCTTGAATTTGGCAAATGAGATGGAGGTGATACCAATGAAATTGCTGCTCCCTCACCTTTACCCAGGGGCAACCATGGGGCTGCCGCACTGTATCCTCACCCACCATGCGGTCCAGGAGGTTCACAGTAGGCCTGTTGCTGCTCCTCAGTTGGGTTCTTGCATTTCTGTGCATTTGTCACTTGCCTGCAGACCTGTCACCCTGGCTTCCCGTCTTGACTGGCTGGGTTTTATCACCAACTTGTTTTTTTGGAAGCTCTTGGTTCCCAACAGTCTTGATCTGTGTGAGCGTGAGCCTGCTCTTCTGTGGGAAGAACCTGCCTGGTGGTGCCAGTGTCTACTGTGAAGGTCCTGCCCTGCCCCAACACACTCTGGTGCTGAGCATCACAGGGGCTCCAGCTCCTGGTTGGGGAGGGGAAGCTGTGGGTACCAGGGACTCAGAACGTGGAACCTGGTTTTTAATCCCTGGGTTTGAAGAGATGTGTTTATTTTTTTTAATAGTATTTTAATTTAATTATTTACTTGGCTGGGTTTCAAGAGGTGTATTTATTATTAAACAAATATTGGCCTTTAAAATTTGGATATAGTTGCTGGCAGTTAATTGAAGTTAAGAAATCTAATTCTAAGGTTTTAAAAGTCAGTGGTCGGTCTGTACGTATGAAGAGGCAGGTGATGAACCACAGAGACTGGCTTACCCTAACTAATCCACATGTGTGTTGTGTTTCCTTGGGGTGGTTTTGTTGTAGACCAGGAAATGCTGCCACTTGGTGCAGGAACATGGAGGTCTCAGGCATAAGTGGTGCTGGGGAGTCTTGACTTAGAAGTTAAAGTTTCACGGGGAGTTCTTGTCAGTCACATTAAGTAGCTGGCACCTCTTAAAACTCAACACTCAAAAAACTATCATGGCATCCGGTCCCATCACTTCATGGCAAATAAATGGGGAAAAAAATGAAAACAGTGACAGACTTTATTTTCTTGGGCTCCAAAATCACTGTGAATGGTGGCTGCAACCGTGAAATTAAAAGATGCTTGCTTCTTGGAAGAAAAGCTGTGCCAAACCTAGATGGCATATTCAAAAGCAGAGACATCACTTTGCCAACAAAGGTCTGTCTAGTCAAAGCTATGGTTTTTCTAATAGTTACGTATGGATGTGAGAGTTGGACCATAAAGAAGGCTGAGCACTGAAGAATTGACGCTTTCCGATTGCGGTGCTGGAGGAGACTTTTGAGAGTCCCTTGGACAGCAGGGAGATCAAACCAGTCAATCCTAAAAGAAACCAACCCTGAATATTCATTGGGAAGACTGATGCTGAAACTGAAGCTGCAATACTTTGGCTGCCTGATGTGAACAGCCAACTCATTGGAAAAGACCCTAATGCTGGGAAAGATCAAGGGCAGGAGGAGGAGGCGGCGACTGAGGACGAGATGGTTGGATGGCATCACCAATACAATGAACATGAGTTTTAGCAAACTCTGGGAGATGGTGAAGGACAGGGAAGCCTGGTGTGCTGCAGTCCATGGGGTCACAGAGTTGGACACGATTTAATGACTGAACAACAACACAGTTGATGATATAGTTAACTTCAATGGAACAGATACGAAAGTATCAGTTATTGATACTTTTCTGTGAGTAGGCTGTAAATGGGTTATTCAATAGGAACTGAGTAACTGATAATAAGAAGTAATTTGTCAAAGTTGTATTTTCTAGAACAGTTACTCAGGACCAAAAAAATTACTTAGCAAAGTAGTAAATAAACTTGACATAGTCATGTTACTTCTGCTGTAGAGTAAATTGTTAGTAATGGAGACTTGACGAGAATATGCTGTCATCAATGTCACTGAGGGTCCTGAGCTCCCTGTAGGCCCTGCCCTGGTAGTGGGGTGGTATGTCCTTGTTTCTAATCCAGATGAGGAGGTAAACGCCGAGTGCTGCAGTGACCTGGCCACGTCGACAGCTGGAAGCTGTTAGAACTGGGCTTACCCTGGTTCCAGAGCCCATCCGCTCTGGGGTGGCAGTGAGGCTCGACAGTGACACACCGACATCACAGCGTTCTCTGTGCCCTTTGGTTTGGCTTGGGTCCTGACTTCACCTCTGTGCTTCTGTCTGTGCCTCTGACAGTCGTCGTTGTGCCTGGGGGAGCCCGGCCCCTGAGGAACCCAGTCTGGAGGGAGTTCACGTGCTTGTGTCCTGGTTGTGATCAGAAGTGACCCTTCTCTGAAGCAGCTGCCGCCACTCTTCTTACTGCATGTTTTCCTTTTCCTTTTTCTTGATTTCCTTCCTCATTTTGCTGAAATGCTGTCCAGATCGTTGGTTCGTTCAGGATACACAAGCTGTGGTTTTCCCAAACTCCTGCATTTAAACATTTTTCTGACTTACACCTTGTTGATGATGGACTCCTGGGATGAAATTCCTTTCTCCTTAGAACTGGAAGCATGGTTTTTGGGGGGAAGTTCTCAGTGTCCAGGATGTGGACATTTGACCTTGCTCGGCGGGGCTGCAGTTTGCACACTTGTGTTTTCTGTCAGCACTAATTTTGTTTTCGGTTGACTATTTCTTTCTCGGTTGGCTGTATTCTTTGCCTTTCAAATTCCCATTAGATGGAGTTTCTCATTTTCTATTTTCCATATGCTGGTTCTCTCCTGATGCTCCTTGAATCGTGCCTCCTCTGTGCTCTGGTCTCCAGCCGTTACAGGCAGTTGTGCCCTCTGCTTTGTTGACAGCTTCCCTGCTCAGATGGTGATTTCCGGAGCCTGCGTTCTTTCTGTGCTCCTTGTGGTCATAGCTTGCTGTAATTTCAGTCTCTGAGGACAGCATAACTGTTTGAGGGCAGTTTTAGGTTTACACAAAAATTGAGCAGACTGTTCAGAGAGTTGCCTTGTACTTCCTGCTCCCAGTCCCAGCTTTTTGGCATTGAGTGGTACATTGTTTAGAGTGATGGTCTAACATTGATACAGATTAACTCAAGTCCACAGTTTACAACAGGGCTCACTCTTGGTGTTGCTCATTCTTCCAATTCTGACAAATGTATGATGATGTGTATGTAGCATTGTGGTATCAGAATAGTTTCACTGCTGTAAAAACTCTCTGTGCTCTAACTGTTTATCCTCCCTGACCCCAGCCCCTAGCAAACACCAGTTTTTCTACTGATTCCATAGGTTTGTCTTCTCCAGATTGTTAGAGTGGTAGAATCCTACAGTGTGTGTGTAGCTTTCTCATTGGCTTCTTTCACTGAGTTGAATGCCTTTAGGCTCCTCCGTGTCTTTTCATGGTTTGGTAGCTCGTTTCAGTCAGTGCTAAGTAATACTCCACTATCTGGATGTACCACAGTTTTTTATCCATCACCTGCTGAAGTTGCTTCTGAGTTTTGGCAACTATGATATATATATATATACCAACTTATTTTTAAGTAGTAGCTTATAATCACAGAGAGATTATAACATCAGTAATGAATTTAGAAATTATGTCTGTCCTCTTTTCTTTGAACTGCATGTTATTTCGAAGTGTATTGTTTTAATAGTAAACACCGAGGCTTTCCTAGATACTTCCCTTTTGGGTCTCTAATCTGTTCGTGTTGGGGACATACTGTATATGATTTCAGTCCACTTAATTTTTTTTTTTTTTTTTAAATTTTGGCTGTGTTAGGCCTTCGTTGCTGCACACAGACTACTCTCTATTTGCGGTGCACAGGCTTCTTATTGCAGTGGCTTCTCTTGTAGCAGAGCACAAGCTCTAAGCTGCAGCTCAGCCGTCATGGTGCACAGGCTTAGTTGCTCCACAGCATGTGAAATCCTCCTGGACCAGAGATTGAACTATGTCCCCTGCATGAGCAGGCAGATTCTTTACTGCTGAGCCACCAGGGAAGCCCTCTGTCCATTTAGATTTTTGGAAGCTTATTTTAAGGCCCATCATGTAAAAGTGTAAGTTCTATGGATGTGGGTGTCATACAGGTAATTGGGTAATGTTGGTTGATAGTGTTCTTCAGATTGTTGGCATTTTTCCTAACTTTGTATGTGTTTCTGTTCTGTCAGTTTCTGAGAAAGGGGTGTTAAGATTTTTGTGAGTGTGAAATTGTCTGCTTCTCCCCTTATTTGTCAAAATTTGCTTTATGTATTTTGAGACCCTGTTTTTAAAGTGTGTCTCTTGCATTTTTATCCATTTGACAGTGTCTTCGTTTTACTGGAGCTTTTCATCTGTAGAGTTTTGTTTTCATTTTTCTTTCAGCTTTCTAGCTAGGCCCCCTTATGTCTTCACTTAGAGGTTGCTCAAGGGATTGTGGTAAACACACTTAAATTTAATAGCCTGCTTAGGGTGACAATATTGTAGCAGTCAGAAACTGCCCTTTACCCTAACGTGGGACCACTCGTCACTTCTTTCTGCTGTAGACGAATGTGTTACGTTTGTGTATGTTGTGACCCCACAAAGTGCTGTAATTTTTGCCTAAAATAGAGTCAAGCCTGTCCGCTTGGCACTGGGGATTTTAACCTGCGCTGTCTGCTATTTCCCTGCGCTCTCCTGTAGACAGAGTGCCATGGCAGACCAGAGACAGCGCTCGCTCTCTACCTCTGGGGAGTCCCTGTATCATGTGCTGGGGCTGGACAAGAACGCAACCTCGGATGACATCAAGAAGTCCTACCGGTAGGCGGCCTCCTCCCCAGCGGTTCCTGCATGGCTGTCTTACATCTCCCTGCTTCCCTGGCCTACTTGCAGGGTCACAGTAGCAGTTCTGTTGCATCTCATGAGTGTTACCTTAATGCTTTCTGGGCAACAGAAAACAGCCCCTTGTATTTAAAAAAAAAAAAAAACAACACAGCCCCTTACATAAATAAATTAAAAAAACAAAACTAAACAGCTCCTTGCCAGTCATTTGAACTCCCTGCCCTGGAGCAGAGACCTGGCGGGCAGGTCGAGTGTGCTGAGCTGTGACTGTGGGTTATTCTCCACACCCTGGGGAGGGGGGAGCCTTCCCTCTGAGCTTGCCCCACCCCCATCCTGTGCAGTGTCTCTAAGACACTGTCATTGATGCAGCCACCTGACACAGTCCTTTATGGTCTCCCTTATCTCCTTATCAGACACATTTTTAAAAAGCCTTTGCTCCCCGTCCCTGCCTTTGCCTCCATTTGACAAATGTTCGATGAGCGTCCGGGACACTAGAGGGCAGCAGCGGGGTTGGCAGCTCCTGGGGGAGATCAGAGCAGGCCCGCTCAGGCCAGCTGCTTGCAGGTCAGCTCCCACAGGGCACCTGATTCTATGTGGATGGCTCTGGATGATTGCAGAAATTTCTGTTGACCCTGGCGTTCTTGAGTTCTATGGAAAGAAAGGGAGCTGGTGACAGGTAGATGTGTCTCTGCTAGCCCTCCGTCCAGTGGGTGAATACAAAATGCATGACCAGCAGATGGTTTTGGTTTGCAGGAAGCTGGCCTTGAAATACCACCCTGACAAGAACCCTGATAACCCGGAGGCTGCGGACAAGTTTAAGGAGATCAACAACGCCCACGCCATCTTGACGGACGCCACGAAAAGAAACATCTACGACAAGTACGGCTCGCTGGGGCTCTACGTGGCCGAGCAGTTTGGGGAGGAGAACGTGAACACCTACTTTGTGCTCTCCAGCTGGTGGGCCAAGGTGAGGCTGCGACTCCCACACTCGAATCCTGGCGGGTGGGTCTAGGCATGTGGCAGGCTCCTCATCCCTGTGTATACAGGGCAAAGGTCGCATCCCAGCAACTTTCGCTGGCCTCGTGGCCTGCCTGCAGCTGACCTGGATGCACAGAGCGGGGCCTGTGCTGAGGGGTGGCATCCACAGCATTTTCTTTTATGAGTTGCTGTAATAGAAACAGGAAACAAACTTTTGTCATCACAATGTGGAGAGATTTGTTTTTGTGATTGAGAAGATGTGTTTGAAATGTCTAGCTTGAGAAACTTGAAAAGATAGTATTGTTTTATCTGTTAACATTACTTGGTTTCCTGATTTTATTCAAAGCATCTGCTGTGTAAGGCCCGAGAGCGTGGCTCACTGCTGGGCACTGTGCTGTTGGAAGCCAATCCGGTGGCTGCCAGTCCCCCTTCCCCCCTCCCCCCCTTCAGAATTTACTGTTCCTTATGCAGCTGGTCTTTCTGCCTTTCCTGTCTTCCTGTCTTAATGTTCTTTATTCTTCTTGATCTGGGAAAGAACCCACTGTTGGTTGAGGACCCCTCTATAGCTGGGGTGGGCGCTTCCTAACACAGCCCTGTCCCCCTCCCCCCAGGCCCTGTTCATCTTCTGCGGGCTCCTCACCTGCTGCTACTGCTGCTGCTGCCTCTGCTGCTGCTTCAACTGCTGCTGTGGCAAGTGCAAGCCCAAGGCGCCGGAGGGTGAGGAGACCGAGTTCTATGTGTCCCCTGAGGACCTGGAGGCGCAGCTGCAGTCCGACGAGAGGGGTAAGTGCGCCCACCGCCTGGGTGGCGCGCGAGGGGCGGGGCCGGAGCGGGCCCTGAACGTGTCGCCCTGTCTCATCAAACAGGAGGGCACTGACACTGTGCGGGAGTGTTTGTGGTGGCAGCGGGACGGTTGAGGTGTGAACGTGGACACTGGAGGTAAAGCAGGCTCGGAGGGCTGTCCCCGCCGCGGACTGTGGTGGCCGAGTAGGCGGGGAGGGCCGAGGGCCGAGGCCACTGAGGAAGGTTGTGTGGGGCAGAGGTCCAGGCAGCCTCACCCTTCCGAGTGCTTGTCCTACGACCTCTGACCCCAGTTGAGCCACCAGGCGGCCAAGCGTGTCGCACAGTGTCGGGGACCGTGAAGCTCACCGGCCTGACCTCACAACATGTTCGTCGCTTGCTTGCAGAGGCCGCAGACACGCCGATCGTCATCCAGCCGGCATCTGCCACGGAGACCACCCAGCTCACGGCTGACTCCCACCCCAGCTACCACACTGACGGGTTCAACTAAGTCCAGGATCAGTCAGCTCCCGGCCACTCAACCTTAGAATCATGAACTGTAGTCACAGAGATGGCGTGGGAGCCGCCCTGGCCCCAGGAGGGCCGCGCCGACCCGCCTCTGTGCCCGCCCATCCACCCCCGACACATGAAGTGCGTAGCATGCAGTATTTAAAGCAGTTTAGCTACGGTCTTCTTCATCTTCTGTTGTTTCCTTTTTTAATAGCATGTATGGGTTATGTCCATGTCTGTATGTGTTGTGGGCGTGTTGCAGCCAGACCGCATTCACCAGACGTGGGGCTGCCTCAGGACTCTCAGGCAGGTTGACGTGGTGGGTGGATGGCCCTTGTGGTCCCTCACGGCCAGGTGGGCTCAGGCAGGATGGGCACTCCGTTTCCTGTTTTCATGGGGGCCTGAGGTAGGTGCTGCCTGATGGAAGCTGTGGGGTCTGCTCCCTACCCTGTCTGCCTACCTTGTGGCCACAGGCAGAGCCTCTGGACTCACTTGACAGGAAGGCGCTGGGCCTGACTCGCAGTCCCGGGGTGTTGCCCTGTGGTACTCATGCTCACCTTGTCTGCTTCGCCTCATGGCAGGTATTCCCGTATCTGACCTGAGGCCCCTGTGCTTCGAGTGTGCTCCCTCCCCGGATGGACCGTCCCTGCAGCCTTCATGCTCCCCTTCCCTGCACTGCCCTCCACATTCCTTCAGGCCCACCTGGCCTCTTCGTAATCCTTTCTTGGACTTCCAAGAACCACAGATGGTATCAGCGGCCCAATTAGTGGTAGTCAGAGGGGCTGAGTCCAGGCTGCCCGTGGTGAGTGGGCTGCATAGCCCTCCTGCTTCCCGCCCCCCCCCCCCCCGCCCCAACCCCTCACCTCCAACCCACTTTCCTCCATCTGCTCCCTTTGGCCATTGTGGATGGTTTGGGCAGTTAGAGATATCGAGCTTATGGAAGAAGGACCAGCTGGACCAAAGGCACACTCCGGGCAGAGAGTCAGTCCCCAGGAGGCCTCGGTGCCCTTGGCTCATTCACCTGCAGCCAGACCACAGAAGCTCTCTCACCTCTGTCTCAGCACCACCACCTGTGGACTGTCGGAAGCCAGTCTGTCTTGTCTGCGTCCAGCCCTGGGGATAGTCCACCACTGTGAGGACTTGGAAATGTGCTTGTGCTGGGCCTGTGTCAGACTTGCACCTCCAGACCTGTGTGGCCCAAGCAGGCCTGCCTGGTTTCTGCAGAATGAACCTAGTGACCACTGGACGACTCCTCAGTGTCCAGTGGGGGAGGCTGTGGGCAGGGGCTGCACGTGAGGAGGTCAGGCGCACCAGGACACCCTCCCAGAGCCACTGTCCACCACCCACCCGCCCACCCATAGCCCCAGCTCACTCGCTGTGCTGTGCTCTGCAATCACCAGGTCTAGAGGCACGTAATGGTACTGTTTTATTGGGGTTTTGCCTGTGAAAATGATCGTGAAGACATTCAGTGAGAATTGAGATAAATGCACTGGTATTAAATTAGAAATAACCTGCTAAAATCAGACTTCTTAAAAGAACAAGGAATCGGTTATTTGACCTGTCCTGGACCAGGGAGGAGGCTGGTCTTTGGTGCCAGCCCCAGGCAGACAGCAAGAATTCAGCCTGAGAGCAGGCCCTAGTCAGCCATCCTGTTTCTGGAAATAGCTTAGGAAATGAGTTGTTTTTCTCCAGAATGGCCAAAAAACAAGTTCAAAGCTTGGACTCCAGCAGGCAGGCAGCCACCCCTTCTGCAGTGGCTGTGTTGTTGCTTTGTGGGTGGAAAGCTCTAAGACCCACCCCACAAACGTCAGGGTGAGCCCCTTGTCAGGTGTGTCTCAGTTCCGGAATCTTAACTGCTCGTCTGCTAGAAACGTGATGATCTCTTGGAGACCAGGGTGCCGTGGAAAAGGGGCAGGTCTGCACGTTTGTTGAACCCAGTCTCCCACAGAATTGCAAAAACCTAATAAATCATGATGACAATGACGACAATTCTCCTGGTGATGGTAACGATTACATGAGGCCCAGGTCCCCAAGGAGCCAGCACCTGCTGGGTCTAGACCACGCCTCCTCACCTGACCCTGACTCAGGCCCTCCTGTGTGTCCACTTTGTTGATCTGGAAGCAGAAAAAGTCTTCTTAGCACCTTCAGGCGCTCCCCCTGACTGGAGACCTAGGCCCCTGGCTGTGTTTCCGTTTCCTGTGGCCCGTGTTTCCCTGGTGAGCAGGGTGTTGTGTCTGGAGCATCCCCTGTTCGTGTGTTCAGAGGGGGCGACCCTCTGCCTGCTGTGGTGGTAAAGGAGAAGTGCTATGGCTAGTGCTGGGGTGCCCTGAGGTCCTGCAGGGGCATGGGAGTGGCTGAAGGGTGGTCAGAGGCTGGTGGCCTGTAGATTTCTGTTTCCGCTTGGTGACGTGGTCTCTTGTCTTCCTTGGGTGTTACTCTGTTTTCAAACTGCTTCAGACGTTACCGCTCGTGCGTGAGCCTTCCTGCTTCTCTCATCAGTCGAGCAGCCAGCACCACGAGGAACCCACTAGGAAACATGGACATGGCGCTCCTGCTCCGGGTGGGGCGGAGGACCTGTTCCAGGGGAGATGGGCAGCCTCCCTGGCACCTGGTGTGAGACCTTCAGTGAGTGGGTGGGTGCCCAGAGTCTGGGGGCCCTGTCCACCCTTCCCTGGCTCTCAGCAAGCCCTGCCAGGGACACAGCTTGCTTGCGGGGTGTGGTGAAGGGGCGTGAAGAGTGACTGATCTCATTCCTTTCCCAGTATTCTGAGCTGTGAACCCATGTGACACAGGACTCCTGTTTTGCTCTTTTGGTTGTGACTCCTTCTCCTGTGGAATTGGCAAAAGCTACATTTTAACTGTCCTTTCAAGCACGGTTGGCGTTGTCTCTGCTGTAGGTGTGGGCAGTGTGTGTACATATGTGTATATGTATATATCACCCAGCAGCGTGACTGCTGCCGTCCAGGGCGAAGCGACAGTACAATAAACGTTGGCTCCAAAACTGCCTCTGGTTTCTTGATCAGTGGGCAGGAGCAGGGGTCTGGGCAAGCTGGCCTGCCGTGCACAGAAGGAAACCCCGACCCTGCTGTGTCCTGGGATAGGTGTGGGTGGCAGGCCAGGTGTCGGCCTCTTGGGGTGGGGGGCAGGGCTGCCTCCTCATCCCTGGGGACTCACCTGACCCCCTGAGGTGAGTGTCTCATGACACTCAGATGTGGCTGGAAACCCCTCCCTCCTTTGAAACATTAAAACCCATTTTGTAGGCATCAGATACAACCAATGACAAAGCTGCATTGCAAGCAGTCTCTGTCCTGACCCCAGATCCACCCAGAGGTTCCCTGTGAGGTAGGAGATAGATGGGCTCCAGCTTGCACATTTACTCTCCTACCTCACCTGGGGGAAGAGGCTGGGCCTGGGTCCTGTGCGCAGCAACTTCTGGTCAATTTTGTCTCCTTGGAGATGGGATGGTGTTTCGGGTGGGCAAGGGAAGCAGTTTACACTGAAACCTGTATACATTGTGGTTAGAAGCTAAATGCAGGTGCATGGACCACGGTTGTCCGTGTGCTGGTTTGTCCTGCTGCTGGGGTCCAACCTCTGCCCTGAGCCCGTGCACACACCTGGGGCTGGGCTGGGGGATCACGGAGGTTTCCCATGGTGATGGTCTCTATGTCTGAATGTTGACCTATAATAAAGATTACTTGTAAAAAATAAATGTTTTCACTGCAGACCAGGTGTATGTCTTATTTAATGATCCCTGCATAATCCTATTTTGGGGGGAGTCTTACACTTGGGGGGCAGCTGACCTCGACCCTCCTGAGAGAGGGGCAGGTGACACCTTGTGCCCCACCAGGCACCCCTGGACACAGTACAGGCAGCTGCCTTTGTGCCTGTCTCCTCACTCCAAGATAAGCATCCAGTCTTGGGCTCTTGCAGGAGGCTCCATCTCTGCCCTGTGGTGTGCATGTCTGGGTATTCATGTCCACCATGTGTGCCTTCTCATATCAGGATGGCTCAGGCCCTGGGGACCCTGGCATTAGGTACAGGGAGAGGCCACCCTAACCCACATGGCTCCTGGATCTGACTCCCTATCCCTACAGCACAGTAGGGGGCAGCTGCCTCCAGAAACACCAGTCTTGGGCTGCAGGTGCCACCTTCCACATCCCAGGGGGTATTGGCCCTTCTTGGCTGTGCTTCTCAGGTGGGGTGCTGGTCTTCCTTCTGTGTCTTTGGTCTTAGCGAAGAGCAAGGCAGAAGTGATTTGAAAAAAATTAAAGCATAAAAATAATATAACACCTTGAAGCACTATTTGGACATAACAAACATGAAGTAATTTAATTTACATTTTCCACAAAAAGATATGACAGGGACTTCCCTGGTGGGCCAGTGGAATTTTTAAAATTCTGTCAAAAAGGATTTCCTTGGTGGCACAGTGGATAAGAATGCACCTGCCAAAGTAGAGGACACTGGTTCAGTCCATGGTCCAGGAAGATTTCACATGCCATGGAGCTACTAAGACTGGGTGCCACAACTCCTGAAGCCCGCACACCCTGGAGCCTGCACTCCGAAACTACTGTGCCTGAGTGCTGCAACTACTGAAACCTGTGCGCCTGGAGCCTGTGCATGAGAAGCCCATGCACCTCAATAAAGAACAGCCCCCACCCACCACAACTAGAGGGAGCCTGTGCAAAGCAAGGGAGATCCAGAACAGCCAAAAATTAAAGGGAAAACATAATAAAGACCCCTTTGTACTTCTCTCCCGGGGGTCCAGAGGTGGCCACTCGGCACTTAAGCCCACTTCAATTTATGGTTTTAAACCCTGCCTACCAGTGTCAGGGTAGCTGAAGTTCCAACAATTTGGCCACCTGATACAAAGATATGACTCACTGGGAAAGACCCTGATACTGGGGAAACACAGGGCAAGAGAAGGGAGTGACGAGGATGAGATGGTTGGATGACGTCACTGACTCAATAAACGAGTTTGAGCAAACTCGGGGATAGTGATGGACAGAGAAGTTACTGCAGTTCATGTGGTGGCAAAGAGTCAGACACAACTTAGCTACTTACTGAACAACCAGTATCAGCATCTATAAAATGTACCACTGATTTCAAAGATTTACATAAATTGTACAGCACTAAATCACTGTGAGTGTTCATTCAATGTAGGTTTTTTTTTTTAATCCATGTGGCTACATTTAGTTGTGGTTATTTTAATTTCTATACTGCATATATCATATGAATCAACCACAAGTGGTTGGTGGTCGTGTCACTTGAGGACACAGGTGATTTTAGTTCCTGGCTGATGAAGCAGAGCTGCGCTGCTCTGGCCAGGGACTACCATTGGGCAGGGTCTGGAAACTTCCCCGTGATTGGTGGCCCCAAATGCCCTGCACATCCACAGAGAGGAAGGGCCCTTCCTATCTCCCTGACAGCCTTAGCATCCTCAGACGTTTCTCCTCATTTTCAGTATTTTCTACCTGAGATATTGACAGAAACAGGACGTGACAACACGAAACCAATGTTTAATGATGGGCATTCAGAGTGGTGGGCAACGGGACCTCCGCCCCTCCTGGCCCTTGTTTAGGAGGACTGAGGGCCCGGGGCGTGGATGAAGTCCCCCAGTGCCCTTTGCTCTTCAGTCCTAGGACCCTGGGCTCTTAGCAGAAGTCGCGGTCGCAGCGTGTGGGCACGGTCTTAGGTACACCTCCAGCCTCCCTTCCCTGTCCTACCTCCCACACCCCCTGGAAGTACCGAGAGGCAGCCCCGCCCAGCAGCCGTCTGGCGTGTGGGGCGTGGCCACGAGGAGGGGCGGGTCTGCCACGGGGATGTGGGCGGTGGCGGCGGCTCACGTCTCCCCAGCCCCTCCCGGCAGACCTGGCGCAGGTAATCTGCGTCCAGGTAGGTTGAGCGCGGGGCCGTATCGCGTGGGCTCCCCTGCCCTGGCTCCCAGGCAGCCCGCCCCCTCCCTCGCCTACGTTGCCTTCGACGTCACCGCGTGAAGCGCTTTATTCCAGGAACCCAAGCGGCAGCGGCAGACGAAGGCCCCGCGACGGGCCAGCGGTTCCGGGAGTTCTGGTTCAAGGAAACCCGGCAACAACTCGGTAAGACCCGACCCGGAGGGGAGCGCGGGCCACGTGGGCGCCGGGGGCCGGACGCGCCCGCAGTCACCTGCCTTCTTGGAGTAGCGTCTCCCGTGTCGGTCGGGCTCGGGGCCCCGAGGACCCCGCGCGGCCCATCCCGGCGGGAAGACCCCATCGCTATGCGGTAACCCCTGTCCCTGGCACCCATCCTCTCCAAGTCCTGAGGACTGGGCTTCCGCGGTCTCAGGGAGGCCCCCTGCTCAAGCTCCCCAGAACTTCGGGGGGGCCCGAGGCAGCACCCGCGGCGCCCTGGACCGCGGCTCCTTTCAGTCCTGTCCGCTCTCTTTCCGTCCGGGAGCGCGGTCCCCAGCAGGCCCGTGCCGCGATACTCGGCTCGCACTGGTACTAGGGGGCGTGGTGGCGGTTGGGGAGGGTCCAAGCCAGCGCCAGGCCCACCCCCAGACACGTGACGCCGGGGCGGTTTTCGGCCCCCAGTTGGAAGCCAGCTTCGCCCGGGAACTAGGCCCACCCACCTGTCCGCCGCCCCAGCGGATGTATCCTCGCTCTGCTCGCCAGGGCTCCCAACTCGGGCCCTCCTCGGGGTCACACACCTGGGAACCCCGCGAACACTGTTGCTATTGCCCTTCTCTCATCCTTCTAAGTACAGCTAAAACCCACCTGCTGCCCCCTGCCCTGTTCTTTCAGAAGTGAATCCACGGCCCCCTCCCTTCCTGCCCCTGCCCCAGCTCTCAGCTTGACATTGGAGGGTCTGGAAGTCTCCCAGCACAGAGCAGCCTGTCCTGCAGCGTCTCTGGCTGCCTCGTGCAGGGGCTCAGCCCTGAAACATGCACAAACGACACTTCCTGGGACTCACCCTGGGGCACCTAGGACTGTATCGAGCCAAAGCCGGGACACTGGCATCTGGCTGTTTCTTCTTGACTCCTGGTGTCCCAGCCGAGAACTGAGACACTCTGATGGGTGGAGTCCTTCCCCAGACAGTACCCACCTTTCTGCTGGAGTCCATGTGCCCCTTGCTGCTGCTGGGGAGGGGACGGCACCTCGCGGGCTGACGAACCTGAGATTGTCCCTGGATGCTCACCATTCTCAGGTTGGACAGTCCTGAAGGCACTGCCCAGGCGGCTGATGGGGCTTCCGCAGGCACAGTACTCTTTGGGGTTCCTCACCCTGTGTCCCAGGAGCCTCTGGACAAGTGAGGGAGGGGCTCAGGGTCTGTCCTGGCCCAGGCTCTGAGGGTCTCTCCAGGCTGCAGGCCCACCCTCAGCTACTCCCCAGGTTCATCCCCCACCCCCTGACCTCTGCTGGGCCCCCAGCAGCCCAGGTGCCCAGAGAGCAACACAAGGGGCCACTCATCAGTCCCAGCTGGCACACAGCTGGAGCGGTTTGCCTGGGGGTGGGCTTCTCTGGCCCCAGCAGCACCACCCAGCTTCTCCCCACGCTGGAAGCCCCCAATGGTTCCAGTCCTGGACCTTGAACTCTGGTGCTGTTTCTGGGACTGGGAGGCTCCCTGATGCTGGAGGAATTGCCCCTTTCTCCCAGCGGCACCCCAAAGACCCTTCATCAGGACTGTTTGGAAGGTGACCACTTTCTGCCACCCCTCGGGGTCCTGGCAGGATGTGGCCCCAAGAATCCCCCTAAGCTGTGACCTTGCCTCCGGGAGATGTCTCTGGTGAGGGCCCTCAGTCTGAGGAGATAGGGCTTGGTCCTAGGACACACTGACTCTGGAGAAGTGAGAGGAAGCTGTCCCACCCACAGGCTGGTGGCCGAGTCGGGTGGGGCCCTGAGCTGCATCTCACACATGTGTGTCTGGGGCCATGTGCTCTTTGCACACGCATGAGCAGGTTTGGCTTTAATATCTTCTCTGGGAGCTGGTTAGCCTCCAGCTGGACTCGGGGGCCCCTCCTGGGATGACCTAGTTCTGCTCAGCTCATCAACTGTCTGCCTCATTTCTTACCTGGGAAGAGCTTGCCGGATAGAAGGGCATCTTTGCCTCCTTGCCTGTCAGCACTTGAGCAGGGCCAGGCCTGCTGCAGGCTCCAGGCACAAGAGCACAGGATGAATGAATGAACAAATCTGGCCCTGGAGACAGGGCTGGAGCAGGGGGCTGTCCACTCACCAGGTTGTGGGGGAGAGGTCCCTCCTGCCGACCTCAGGGCTGTGTCGCTCCTCTGACCCTGTGCCTGGCTACCTCTGGACCAAGCCTTTATCTGCTGCCCTTCGCTTGTCCCCCACCCAGAGACTTCCTGTCCCCGCCCCACAACTAGCTTTTCCATGACATGGCCTTTGTGGTGGGGGGGGGGGGGGGGGCGGGTACCAAGAGACCAGGAGGGCAGGAAAGAGTGAGACCAGGCCGTGAGGTGGAGGGGACGTCTGTGTGGGGGCTTCTGACAGCCCACCAGTTGCAACTGGGAATCCGCCTCAGGTTTGTGAGCCAGGCAGGCCTGCTCCCTGGCAGGTGCCCTAGCCCAAAAACAGTGAAGGCAGCGCCGGACGTGGTTTCTGGCCCTGAACAGTGTGGCCAGCTCGCTGACGCACCGGCGTCTCCCCTGCAAGTGGGGCCCCTGTGGCCAGCACTAGCTCCTCACTCCTTCCTACAGCCACCTGCACACCAGTCTCCTCCCCCACACGAGCTCCCCCTGCCGCGGTACAAATATGCGGGGGTGGGGGGGGAGTGACTGTGGAGGCTGCTGACACCTTTAAGACTCAGAGCCCTAGGTCCAGGCCAGGTGGCCACCAAGGGCCTGTCTAGCAGGGCCAGGAGCTGCAGGTCCAGTTCTGCCCTGTTCTAAACGTGGCTGAGCCTGGACACGACGAAAGTCAAGTACAAGACCAGGACCCCTTGTCCTGCAGGGGCTGGGGGCAGGAGGAGGCAGGGCCCTGACCAGAACTTAGTGGAGGGCAGGCTTCCTTGGTCTGTCTGCTCCATGGGGGCCTCACAACTTGAGGACTGGGGCAGCCCTGGGGCCCGCTTCCCAAGCCAGGTCCAGGTGGGACAACAGTCCTGGGCCCTGCTCGTTGACTGCGGCTTCCTTTTCCTAAAGCTTTATTTTATAAAATGTTTAGACAAGTTACAAGGGTAACACTTTTTTTAATTAAAATAAATTAACATCTCTATTCTGAGCCTCAGGGGAGACAGGGAGGCGTGGGGAGTTGGGGCGGGTGGTGGCTACCCAGTGGAGCCCCCTTCTTCATCGTCGCTCCCATCAGGGACAGCGTCGGTCCCAAAGTAGCGGTCACCAAAGTTCCCTAGGGGAAAAAGCAGGTCCTTGTGGTGGGGTCTCAGGCCCACCTGCCCCCCGCCCAGGAGCGCCACTGAGGCAGCCAGGCAGCCTCACCGATGCCAGGGATGATGCGGAAGAGGTCGTTGACGCGCTTGTCTACTGCTGTGGTGATGATTCTAACGCGCGGGAAGGCGTAGGCCACCGAGTGGACACCCATCTCCGCCATAAGCAGCGATAGCAGGAAGATCTTGTCCTCGGGCACATCATGGTCCTGCGGGGCGAGGGGCTGAGTTGTGGCCCTGGACCCACCCCCACACCCCCGCCCCCCACTCACCAGCAGCACCCGCACAGCCATCATGGCCGCCGCGCCCGTGGACACCGTGCAGTCCATCAGGATCACGTGGTCGTCACTGATGTCCTTGGGGAGCCGCAGGTAGTGGAGCTGCAGGAGGCCCCAGGGTCAGGAGGTCCCCGAAGGCTGCACCAGGGCTCTCGGGGACTCCACCCCCATCCCCTTCTCGGGCTCCACCTGTACCCCGCCCTCCCCGTGGTTCCACCCCCTCCCCCCCTCACTCCCAGGGGGCCCTCACCTCGGGCTCCCCAGTGAGCTGGTTGGTCTGGATGAGGATGGTGCCAATGCGCACGTCCTTGCATACGGCTCGCAGTGCAGGCTCCATGGTCTCGCCAGCCCGCAGGATGGACACGCCTGTGATCTGGGGGACGAGGTTGAGCTGGTCAGACCCTGCCTCCCCGACACCCCAGTTTCCACCCATCTCCCACTGCAGGCTAGGCCCCTGGTACCTGCTTCCCGGCATAGCACTTGCCCGCGTAGTCCTGACCCTGTGGGGTCTGCACCACACAGTCCTGTGCAGGGCGGGATGGGGACGTGAGCGTGAGGAGCCTCTTCTCCCCTTCCCTGCTACCCAGCCTCCCCCACCCCTGTCCTCAGACCTGGAAAGGCAAGAAGGAGAGTGCGTGCTCGATGAGCAGCCTCATCAGCCTCTTAGAGTAGAAGATGAACTCGTCCCGGCTGGTTTCCCGGTCTCTGCAGGTGGCGGTCATTTGCCGGGTTAGGGAAGGGCGGCTCGCCCGCCCGCTGTGCCCTGACGGGGGGGGGGAGAGCTCACCTGATGATGGTGTGCATGCCCCGCACCTGCGGCGTGCTCTTGAGGACACTAAGCGTTCTGGGCAGGGGGTGGCACTGGTGCGCCGAGGCCAGAGCCGCCCTGAGGACACAGACCGATTGGGAACTCAAGGAGGGCATTTCCCCCAGAGCCCTACCCTCCCGCTGCAGACTGGTGGGGTGGTGGTGCGCACCGCAGTGTGCCGGGTGGGGGCTATCCTCCCAGTAGTTGATCTGGAGGAAGGCCCCCATTCCCGGATGCCCTCCCCCATAACAGCCAGGCAAGGGTTAAAGGACACGGTGGAAGGCAGAGCAGCTGACCGTTAGGCAGGAAGCAGGGGATGCGGGCGAGCCTCCCTCCCCGCTCCAGGTGCCCTCCCGGTCCAGGTCCTGGCAGAAGAATCTCTGCCTCCAAGCTGGGCACCAGGTCCCCAACCTCTGGACCTTCCAGGGGAAACAGCCGAGCTTTGAGGCCAAGCCCCGCCTAAGTTTCCCCAAGGTGATGCGCGGCCCCCTCGGGAGAGGGGCAGAGCTGGCTTCGCAGCTCCTGCTGCCCCGGCCTGGAGCGGAGAGGGGCGGGGCCTGCGGGGCGGGGCGGGGCCTGCGGGCGCCGGCACACAGCTCGCGGGCAGCACCACGGCCAGAGCACTCTGTCCTCACAGATCCCAGCGCAGCTTCCTCTGCCCGCCAGGTGAAGAGGCGAAGAGTAGGTCAGGGAGGGAACAGGGCAGGAAACCCCAGGGTTTACAAAGAGGAAAAGAAGAAAAAGAAAAGACCACTTAGCGGCAGCACCGTGGTCCCCGCAGCCACCAGCTGGCCTGGGGAAGAGCAGGAGGCTGGGGGAGGGGGGAGGCGGGGTGGTGGCAGGAAGACCCCGCAGCTCGCGCCCCTGGGCCTGCGAGCACCCGCAAGTCCACAGCAGACGGTCCTGCAGGTCCCTTCCACCCAAGGCAGCCACGCTTCCTGGAAACTTTTATTGTCTCTGAACCAAGGCTTCCGCCGGAGCCCTGGGCTGGGTGAGAGGCAAGCGGAGACTGATGCGTGGGCAGGAAGCTGGAGGCCGGCGACCAGCCTGGAGGCATTTCCAACGCACCTGGAGCTCGGGGCTCCGTCTGGTGCTTACCGGCTCTGCGGCTACTGCGTAGGGACAGGGTACGGAAGGGCACTCAGCCCAGAACTCCTGAGGGCTCCACCTGGCCTCCAGTGCCGGGGAGGGGGGTGGGGGCGGTGCCTCACCACCTCTTAGGGGAGTAAACTGGCTTCTTGGCTTAAGCAGAGAAGGGGCAGACCCAGGCCCTTGGCTGCAGGACAGACTGGTGGCACTGCCCTGGGGCCCAGGAGTGCTATAGCTCAGGATAGCTGCGCCCTGGAGTCAGACCCGATACAACCAGCCCCAAGTCAGATAAAAGCCTCCACAGAAGTCAGGGTACTATGTGATGTCGGGCAGGTCCTTTGACCTCTCTGGGCCTGAATTACCTGGCAAGGGCAGGTAGAAGCAGTGTAGGGGCCACCACACCACCCTTCTGTGCCTGGGGCAGAGCCACCAGAGGGTGGGCATGGTGGGAGGGGACAGCCCAGACTCCGAGCTCCCTGTGGATGTTGGAAATGCCTCCATCTGCGCAGACAGGTGTGGGAACTCTTACCTGACACTGAGCTCACGCTGCAGCAGTGACAAGGAGACACAAGGGAATGGGTGTCAGAGACGGCAGCACTGCTCACCTCAAAGTCACAGGACGGTATGGCCTGTCGCCACCGCATGCGTCAGCCAGCCAGGCCACCCCCACCCAAGAGCAGACACACCACAGCCCTAGAGGGGAGGGTCCTAAGGGCTGCCTGTCATGGGAGAGGGTCAGCTTCCTGTGGTCTGACATGGGTACTTCTGGGTGGGATGTCAGAGCCAGGATCCTTGGAGCTCTGTTCCGCAGGCCTCAAGCACCCCACTGTGAAGCCAACCTCAAGGGTGCGTGGCCCCCATGGACAGCCTGTGGTGTGTGACCTTCTAGGATTCTTGGGACAAGGGACTCGGTGCCAAAACCCCAGTCACCCAGAAGGGCTGGAAGGGATAGGCTGTACCCATCTCTGCAAGCCCCATGCTCCCTCAGGGAGCCCAGCTGCCCCTGGCCAGTAAATATGGGGCTGTTTGGGCAGGTGGCCCTGGGCGGTGGCAGCAGGGGCCAGCTGGTGGGGCTGCGGGGTGTGGGAGCAGGGCCAGCTGTGGCTCACCTCCTCCAACTGGCTATGCACGTGCTGCACAATCAGGTCGATGGCCACTGTGTTCCCGCTCCCTGGGTGTGAAGGGGGAGGGTGAGGTCCTGCCCCCACTCTTAAGGGGAGCAGGAGGGAGGATAAGGTCTGGCTGTGCCCCCCATCCCCGCCTCCCCGCCAGATGGGCCTGCAGGCTGACCCCGGGGCACCACGATGTCCGCCACACGCATGGTGGGTTGGATATACTGGTCGAAGGCGGGCTTCACAAACTTATTGTACTGCTTGATGACGCCCTCGATGTCCCGGCCCCGCTCGCTGATGTCACGGCGCAGTCGCCGCACAAGGCGTATGTCAGAGTCTGTGTCCACAAAGATCTTCATGTCCAGGAGCTATGGGGCGGTGGGGACAGTGAGCAGCTGAGGGCCAACACTGGCAGGGTAGCAAAGGCCACGGGGGATGGCTTCCGGCAGAGACTCTGGCCTGAATGTGGGCCCAGGAGTGGACCAGTTCCCCAGGGCTCTTTTGGGGTCTGGATGGTGTGGGTGCAGGGGCAGGGTGTGGTGTGTGTGCCTGAATGTGTGTCTGGTGTGCATCATGTGTGGAGTGTGTGTGTATGCACGGCAGGCAGTGGGGTTCCCAGGGCCTGAGCACACTCACACACAGGACCAGCACAAGCAGCAAGGCCTAGGGCAGAGCCAACCATGGATAGACCTCGCTCAGGGCAGGGAAGGAGCCATCCGCAGCCTGAATGGAGGGTGTCACATGTGGGGCAGCTGCCCAGAGCCTCCCAGGGGACAGGATGCCCTTGCGGACAGTGCCCACATGGGAGGCTAGTTCCCTCCCAGGTAAGAACACACATGTGCACACACACACAAGTGAATCTACCCCCACAAATGTGGCTGTGACCTTGGCAGCCATGTGACGCAAAGGGGCTGGGTGAGATTCAGGAGACAAGGCAGCTCACCCAACCCTGGGCCTCAGCACAGTAAGGGAACTGGGATGGAAGCATGTTTAAGGGCAGTCCTGCAGGAGGACCCGGGTCATCTGCCTGGAGCCTGTCCTCACCTCCAGCAGTGTCTTGTCAGCAAAGGCCATGATTCCCTCGAAGATGATGACATTTGCACCATACAATGTTTTCTGCAAAGGAACAGTGTGTGTGGAAGCAAAGCGGCCCAGGGCCCTGGCATCAGCCCAGCATAGCCGAGCCCGCGGCCTACCCAGTCCTTCTTCCGGCTGTGGGTGGTGAAGTCATAGATGGGCACCTTGACACTCTTGCCCTGCTTCAGCTTCTTGAGCGTGGAGATGATGAGGTCGAAGTCAAAGGCATCTGGATGGTCAAAGTTGAAGTTGTTGTGGGCAGCCTGCTCCTGCTGCTGCCTGGTGAGCACCTGCGGTGGGGGAAGGGGAGGAGCTGGGGGGAGGGGCAGCTGCAGGCTCAGACCCCTGGAGGGGGTGGCGGGTAGGGAGGTGGGGTGGGGAGGTGGCAGTCCAAGAACCTCCCATAGGCAGCCTGCACCACAGGGCACCCGCACCTTATAGAAGGAGTCCATGGACAGCAAGACCACCCAGGGCACATCCAGGGCCTCAATGATCATTCTGGCCACGGTGGTCTTCCCGGAGGCACTGCCGCCTCCCAGACCTGTGGGTGGGGTGGAGACCTTGAGCACAGTGGCCCAGCCCAGCTCACAGATGAGTCACAGTGGTGCCTGCCACTCCCACACAGCCTCTTCTGACCTGGACCGAGGGGCCCAAGCAGGCCTAGTCACAAGACACCAGCGCAGGCGTTGGACACTGAGGTGGGTCCCACCCCTCTACTTGGGGGTCCCACCAGATGGTGGCTTTGGCTCACCCTTCCCGCCACAGCCATGCTCACCAATGGCAAAGGCCTCCTTGGACTGGGTACCATGCTCATTGTACCACGGCGGCCGCCCTGCTGTGTAGATGGTGCGCTTGCTCGTGCGCAGGAGGGGCGGCTCAGACTTGCACTGGCTGGTGGTGCGCTTCCTTGGCGAGCGCCCCGCGCTCACAGGTGGGAGCAACCTGTCCAGGGACTCCGCGTTGCTGCTGTGGGGGAGGGGGACACGGTCGTCTTGGCCCAGGGCCATCAGCGCCCGGTCACCGCACATCAGGCCTGGTGTGACTAGTCCACATGGTGCCCCCATGCACGCACATAGGCATGGTGAAAGTGAGCAGACTTGTGTAGGGGCACAGCACACTCGGCTGCAGCCCATCCATCCAGGGGACAGCGGGGGACACCAGGGGAGCACTGTCCCGGCCCAGCTCTTCCTCCCACGTGGACTGGGCACGAGGGAGATGGGAGGTGGTCATGCCAAGGACAGTCAAGACCCATCAAGGACTGTGTTCTTTCCCCCGACACACTCGGGGCAGCCCTCTCCTTTTGTGAGATCCAATCCCTGCCATCCTTCAGGGCACAGAGGGAGGGGCTACAGAGAGAGAGAATGGAGCAGGAGGGAGACCCAGGGCACCGTGCCAAGTACAGGGAAGAGGGTGGAGGCCCCCAAAGGCTGCATTTGAGGTGGGGTGGAAACCCGAACTGGGGGAGGGAGGCAGACCCCACTGGTGCCTGCTCCAGCGAGCAGAGCTGTGCTGACTTCTCAGCAGGTTTATACCCCAAAGGGGCACGGACATGATGCTTGGCTCAAGGCCCCAAGGCCTGAGGGGACAGCAGAGGAGGCTCAGGTTGTCAGCCTGCCCAAGCGGCCAGACGGGAGACAGAGTCTCGGACTCAGAGCCCCGTGTGAAGGTGGCCCTAGGCACAGGACCAGCTTAGGGAGAAGGCACTTCCAGTCACTGCCTGAGAGGGAAAGTGGACTGCTCACAGCGTCAGCTTGCAGACCCACCCCAGAGACACCGAAAACAGGCTGACAATCCAGGCAGGGAACCCGGGCGCTCCGGACAACCTGGGTAGGACATGTCCACCTCCAGCCGGAGCCCCAGTGATGGATGTTGCTCAGATACGGGTCAAAGCCTGAGAAGGAGCCACACACTGAGGGTGTCCTCGAGGTGCCATCAGGTGAGAAGGCAGCGTGCCACGAGCCTCAGAGGCCAGCACACGCCTGTCAGGGGGAAGCACAGACCAGCCTCGGCCACCAAGATCAGGAGCAAGGCCTTCAGGCGAGTGTTTTATAAGCACATGCCCCTTTGTGATCAAAAACCAAACCAACCCTTGGTCTGTCCCCGAAGCTCGCCATCACTGCTATGGCCTGCTGTCATGGCCAGGACAGGGCGCTGTGAAACTGGCCTTGGGGAGATGTCCCCAGGAGTGCAGGGCTGTCTGGCTCACTTCAGGATAACCTAGCATTCCCCTGGCATTCCCAGCTGTGTGGCTCCCAGTGCACCCAGTGTTGCCAAGAGGCAGGAGGACAGCGTCTGTGCACACGTGTGTGTATGGGGCGGGAGGCCGGGGGAGGAATTAGCTCAGGGCTAACACGTGACAAGTCACACCAGTGGCTTCCAGGGCACAGAGGGCCCTGTCAGCACAACTGAAGCATCTGAGAACCATCAGCTGGATGTGACAGGAGGTGCAGCGTTGTCCCAGGGGACACAGAGCGCCAGGCTGCCTTGGTGCTCTGTCATCTGGACGGCATGGGTGCGGAGCAAGCCCGGGTTCCCTGGCCTCTGCCCCCAGTGTCACCTCTGCGGCTCTGAGGAAGCAATTACGACGCGTCTGTGGAGCTGAGCACAGACCACACAGCAGGACACCCAGGTGACGGGGAAGGGCCGGTTTGCCCGGCGTCACACTCCACCAACCTGGGCGTCTCCAGACCCTGGTCGGAGGGCACTGCTGGCCATTCCACTAGCTGCGCTTGGCCCCCAGCAGTGAGCACAGGGCCTTGGGGCTCAAACATAGCTGCCCCCCACCTGCAAGCAACCCCCAGGCCCTGGAGGTGACCTGTGGCCGGTAGCTGGGGAGAGGAGCTCCATATGCCCCCAGAGAAAAACAAGTCCAGTCTGTGCCTTCTGCTTGGAAAGGAAACACCAACACAGAAAACTGGGTTTGCAGAGGAGCAGAGCCTCTCTGCCCCAACAGACCAGCCATCGTGCCGAGCGGGCTCTGGGACAGACAGGCTGCCTTGCGGGACCGGCGCGGGACAGGAGGTCTGGGCAAGTGCTACTCCCATCCCCCGACTTTTCCCTCCAAGCTGGGGCCCCAGCAGGAGCATCACTCCTCCCGGGGACTAACCCGCATCCCACTGAGGTGACGATCACCACCACCACCACAGCTCCCGAGGCCTGCAGTGCTGACAGCCTCGGAGGGATGCCTTCTCAGGGAAGAGCTGAAGATAAGCAGGGGTGACCTTGCCAGAAAGCCGCCCACCAAGGGCTGGCAATGGGTCTGAACAGCATCCGGCCGGCAGCCAGGTCAGGCCCCACCACCTCCCCAAGTGCCGGGCTCTCTGTTCACTGCACCCTCCAGAGCAGGCCTCTCCCCTCTTTGGCAAGAGAACAACCTCTGATTTGGAAAATCATACAAGGCCTCACCTGCCTGCTCTCAGATGCCAGGGTGCTGCCATCCGCAAGGACTAAAGGCAATGTCAACCCAAAGGATTACAAACCATAATGGACACAGGTCAGCGGATAACTGAGAGCCCCACGCAAAGCTGACATCTGCAGGTGGCAGGCCTGCCTGGCTGCCTGGCCTGTCTGCCCTGGTGTCCACCAGACAGCGCACGGGGCTGGGGGGTAGCCGAGACACAGTGAAGACAGGAATCCTCACCAGAAGAAAGCAGGCCTACCACTCACCTGCCTTCTGCTCCGAGGGTCCAGCACCCTGACACCCGGATGCCAGGGTAAGCTGGGGGGCTGCTCATGGCCAGGACACGAGGGAGACCGGGATGGGAGGATGACCCCAGTTCTGTGCAGGGATGTCGCTGCACTGCCTCTTAGGCTCCCAACAGTCCCCCAGGACAGCTCAGGAGCCCCTTGAACTGCCTCTCCATGGGTGGGCAACACAACCAGTGAGGAGCTGCAGTGAGGTCCAAGCCCTGGCTGGCAGAGGCTGCCCACTGGGAGTCGGGGGGCCAACAGGTGAGAGGCCCCAGGAGAAGCAACAGCACTCACCACCAGCCTCAGGGGCCGAGGCCACAGGCATAAGAGGATCACCAGCTTGGGGCTGTGCACTGGCCTGATATTAATAGCACTGACCCTGCCGAGGAGAACAGCCAGGCAGACTCAGGCCAGCATCGGGGTGAGCTGCCCCTCCTGCGCTCAGGCTGGCATGCTGCCCGGCCAGGGCTGGCTGAGGAACCCCATCCGGAACACTCTGGAGAAAGTCCCAGACCCCACCTCCCAGGGGCTGCAGGGCCCACGGCCCCCAACCCCAAAACAGGGAAAGCAAAGGTGTCTTTAGGCTGAGCTATCAGCACAGAGCTGAGCTGAGCGCCCCACCCCTGCCCCAGGTGCCTCCTGAAAGCATAAACAACCTGAAACTCTACCCCCCTGAGGCCTCCTCCAAGAATAACTGCCCGCCCCTCCCCCTGCAGGAAGGCTCCAGCACATCCCTCAAGGCCACCATCAGTGCTCAGTGCTTAACTAGGGTCACAGCCACGCCCCAGTCCAGCAGCAGGAGGAAGAGCAGGCCCTCTGGTGTGTGGCTGCAGTATTCACTCACATCTCAGGTCCCTAGCCTCCTCCCTGTGATTAATCCAGTCCATACACCAGTTTTACTCTGCTTCATGGCTCAGAGGAAGCCCCTTCTGTGCACCACCTTGGGGTAACAGGTCTGCCCCCACCCACCTGGAGCTGCTCCCTCCCGCCCCCACCCTACCCGCCCTGCTCAGTCTCAGGACTGCGGAGGAGGCCCTGAGCCCCATCCTGCTTTAGGAGAGTTTCCTGGGCGAGTGAGTAAAAGGAAGTCAGAGGAGGCGGGAGTAGCTGGCCCACTGGGGCCTGGTCTGGGGGTAGGTGGCCCAGACAAGCTCAGGAACAGAAATCAGGGCAGACAGAACTGGGGCAGGGGGGATGCAGTCCTGAAGGGGTGCAGTAGGCTCCAGGGACTTGCAGTTGCCATCCCACCCACTGGGAATCCCCCTACAGGACCCCCTCCTTCCCGCTGCTTTGAGCAAGTAGGCCAGCTTCCTTCCACTAGCCCAGTGGCAGCCCCCAGACCTGTGTCCACCTGGACCCCACCAGGAGAGAGCCCAAAGGGTGCTCACTCATCCACCAGCACCTCTAGTACAAAGGGAAAGTCGGTCCCTTCCGGAAGGCCAGGCGCACAAGAAGCCTTCATGCAGACTGCAGAAGGCAAAGTGGACCCGAGGTCAGGCGAGAGCCTCAGTGCGGAGGCACCTGCACAGACACCCAGACAAGGAAGGGAGGCAGCTCTGGTACCTTCACCGTGGGGTTGGGGGGCGGGGGGCGTACAGGGGCTGCTTGGGGAGGGGATCACGTGCTTGAGGAATATCCCATAGAAGGCAGGGTGTAATGAGAAATTCCCCCAGATGTCCAGAAGCTCCAGGGCCACTCCATGGGGCTCTGTGGGAGAATGTGCTGGTCTCTGCTTACTGCCCACGGGCCCTGGCTCCTCCTGCTGTCCCCCCGGAACCACGCTCTTAGGAAGAAGACCACTGTCACCCTGGCCCTGCTGGGGCACCTAGGTTCACTACTCGGTCTGTGCACCAGGCAGGGCCGCCAGCCGCTGCCAAACGATGTCTGCAGAGGGCGCTCTTCTCAAGAGCTTATCTGGTCTCCAACACATCAGATTCTCTGGAACTAACAAGTGTCACAGATTCAGATCCCTCCTCTTCCACCCTGTCTTCCGAGCCAGGATCTCAATCACTGCTCACCAGGAGGCTGTGACCCTGGAGGGACACCAGAGGCTCCTTCAGGCGCAGGGGGCCTGAGACCCTCTCCCTCCTTGCCCAGCAGCTCTGCTGGCAGTGCCCAGTCCTGAGCAGTCCAAGCCATGGCACTTTGGCACTTTCCAGACAGACCGCCAGGCTAAAAAGTTTTTCTTTGGACCCAGCCTGTGGCCAGCGCTGGGTCAGGCGGGGAGAGGTGGGTGGGGCGGTGTTCAGACCCGGAAGTGAAGAGCCAGCCCTCCCGTGAGCGCTGCTCTGCCTTCTGGGTCCGGGCCCCAGAGGCTGTGAGCGGGGGCTGCCTCCCCAGCCATAACGTCCCCACCTGCAAAGTCCCCAGAGCCGCGACCGTCCGGGTGCTTAGGCGGAAACTGAAAGGCACCGTGCCCTGCACCACCCAGCATCACGACCTCTGGCCTCAGCTGGGAGGCCGACTCTGTACGGGTCCCAGAACGAACTGACCACCTGGGAGCATCCGGCGGGCTAATAGTTCAGCCCGGTGCTCGTAGGCCCGGCGCCGCATCGGCTTGGGACAGAACGAGCCCGCACATGGGCCCTGCCCGCGGCAGTCCGCGAGGGCCCTCCCCCGCCAGGCCACGGGGACCGTTGGCTGGTCCAGGCCCGGATCCCTGGACCGCTCCTCCCACGGAACACGAGGGGCGCGCCGCGCCTACCGGTCCTCGCACGTGGTCTCGTTCTTCCCCTCCGGCCGGTCTGGCCCGTCTCCAGCCGCGAGGGGCGGCGGCGCCGGTCGGGGGGCGTCGGCTGAGGGCGGGGGCGCAGCCATGAGCTCGGGGGCCTCTCCGCGGGCGGGGTGGGGCGGGGCTTGGGGGACGGCCGCTCAGGATGTCGGGAGCTATGGTTCAAGGCCTGGCGCCGCGCGCCCTCCAGCGCGCTCCGCGGACTACAAGTCCCACCAGGCCGCGCGCGCCCCGCAAACTACACGCCTCACTAGGCCTTGCGGCGGGTGTGCAGGTAAGGACACCAGCCCACGCTTTACCACAAACTCGGCTGCACAAAACCGCTGAAAAAAAATCAATAAACATTTATTTGATACAGTCATTTTTAATACATACAGTTGATGGCCCGCCCCAAGCCACTCCCGGGACCTGGGCGGGGACGAGGACCAGGGACAGATGGTCACAAGGCGGGCAGGGCCCGAGCTCACTGTCAAAAACATCTTGCAAATAAACACTTTGTAGATAGAATATATATGTATATATATGGTTACAAGTGATAGCTGGAACCTCTCTTTCAAAATGCACTTAATACGGAGAACTGGCATTAAAAAACCCAAACCAAGAAACCCAAAGTACAGGCAGGAGGTTCTGGCTCCCCCAGATCCCCAGGTCTTCAGGACAGCTGCCTTGGACCCACGGAGGACAACACACAGGGACGGCCCTCCCCTCTGTGGGTCAGGGTGCACCCATTCTTTCCCTTCCAAACCAGAGGGACAGGAGGGGGCTACGGCCGGGAGGGCCATCAGTCACACCAGGGGACACTCATCTGCCCTTGCATGAGCAAAAAAAAGTGCATCCTATTTTGTGTGAAGTTTCGGTCCCTTGAGTCAACTCTCTCCTGTTCTCAGGGCAAGGGGGGTGGGCTGGGCCAGAGGTAGATCTTTAGAAAGGGACCTGGCATTGTGCCCTGGGCCTGGGGTCTCAGGCAGGGTCCATGCCCACCACACGGAGGGGGTTGTCTGCCACTGGGTCCCTCTCACTGAAGGTGTCAGTCAAGGCTAGGTGACTACCTGGCTGCACTCCCACCAGAATGGGACATGGACAGATTCCACCAAGCCACCAAGGGCTCCACTGCAGTGGGAGGAGGGCTCTACAGACCAGCTTGTCACTGCCACCCACCAGCCAGAGCATGGATGAGCGGGGAGGGGAAGAGGAGAAAGGGGGTCCCCACCCAGCAGTCCCCACACCTTAAAGACAAAGAAGGGGGTTAAAGTGCTAAACATCAAGTTACCCAGGACCCCACTTCTTCCCACACGTCCGGTGAGGTTCCCACATCAGAGATCACACGTGTACGGCAGGGGTGACAGTGAAACTCATCCCCCAACCAAAACCAGCCCCCACTCCCCAAGGGCCAAGTACCTGAGAGGCCGGCCAGGCGGCCATCCCCTGCAAAGGTGCTGAGGTCCAACCTCCTCCCATCGATGACAAGGACAAAGTGCAGGTGGGGCCCCACCAGCGCCTATTTCCTGGCACCCTCCCACAGCTGCCCCTCCAGTGGCTGCCCACCCCTCTACCTCCACCAGCCATACACCAGCGACACACAGGAATACAGGAAGGAAAGCCCTCCTGCCTGAAGCTGTACTGCCTGCCTCAATGTTTGATGCTGGATTTCCTGCCCCTGTCCAGGCCTCTACCTGCCGATCAGATCAGGTGCGTGTGAGTAGGGGGAGTCCACATTTCCACATCCCCTCCCTAGCACACAGGCCAGGACTGCCCAGGGTCAGAGCACTCTGGCCAAGCGAAGAAGCTAGAGACAGGCAGTATAGCGCCTCGGCCCCCAAGCCTCCTGGCAGCCGTCTCCCTGGTGCAGGGTGAGGACAGCTGAGCCCACACTGGACCCTCCTCTCCAGGGGTGGGATGGGGACAGGAGCCTGGGGGCAGGCATGCCCAGTTAGCACTGCCTCCCTGAGCAGGGGAGGGACCCCAGCCTAGCCCCCAGATCCACTGTCGGCACCAGGAAACCCTTAGCACCAAAATGTTAGATTGTGGTGAGTTTTTGTATAAAAAACAATTAAAAAAAAGGTTTGTTACTTGTCACAGCAACGAGACTGGCATCCACTACACCCAGGAGACACACGCACACAAGCAAATATCAAAATTCACATCATCCAGGATCGGCAAGGCCAAGCCCTCAGCCCACCCCCACCCCCCAGTAGAAAACAGCCTCCGTCCAAACCTACAGCTCTGAAACCCTCCCGGCCCCAGCAATGCCATGGCAGGAAGGTTTGGCTGCATCCTCAGTGCCCTGGACTCCACGTGACCCAACCTACAGACCTCGCTGTCCTCAGGGCACCGAAGGGAGCCAAGACAGAGCCCTGGCGCTGCCACCAACTTATGTGACCTCAGCCAAGTTCCCCCCTGGCCTTCGGCTCTCACATCAAAAGGCCACACAACCAGAAATGAAGGAGCAGGTAAAAAAGGAGGGAGGCTCCCACGGGAGCTTGGCCATGGGTCAACCCAGGCCAGCAGACAGGCTGCTTCCCACAGTGGTCACTACTTAAGCCAGGCCCCAGGTCCCCACTCCACAGGCCTGTGGGCCCCAGGTGACCCTGGAACCCAGACTGGCCCTCCCTAAATCCATTGGGCTATGTGATCTAGGCCAGTAGCATTAGCGAAGCTGGAGGCTGAGGCCAGAGCTCGCATCACACAGCCCCTCAGCCCTGCTCAGCAGTTCTGCGATGGCAGAAGAGCCTCTGCTGGCCTCAAGCAGGGAGCACTACTAGAGACAGTGGAGCAAGACAGCCTCCCCCATCATGATGGACACAGGCCGGGGGGGCAGGGGCCTGAGCACAGCAAGGGTTGCACAGCAAGGGAAGGTGGGCCTAGAGAGGTAGAGCGCAGAAGTGCAGGAACCAGAAGGCAGCGGGGCAGGGGTGGGGTGGGCCATCAGGTCAGCACGGTAGTTGTCGGACTTGGGGTCTGTCCTGGGAGGTAGCTGGGGGTGCTGGGGTTCCAGTGTCGGGTCAAGAGGCGAGGCCGCTCAGGTATCCTCATCAGCCCAGAACAACGGGCTACCCAGGGAACCCCTGAGCCTTGGGCTCAAAGCAGATGGGGCATGGAACTCATGTGCCAAGGGCCAGAAGGCCATCTGCCTACTCCACAGTGCCCGGCACCTGAAGCCCAGGCTATAGCCCTTCCCCCACCGCCCGTGATGGTCCCCCCAGACTATTGCACTCCCCAGCTGCCCAGCCCTCCCAGGAGCCCAAGCCCAGGGCATCCTGCGGCAGCCTGCATGGGAAGAGGCTGCCTTCAGGGAGGAGAGGGCTGCCCACCGCTGCTGGACAGACAAACAGGTGGGGTAGGGGTGGAGACCTGGAGGAAAGGAGGCTCTGGTGCCCCACCCCGGACTCAGGGGCTGGGCCAGTGTGGGGACGGGCCCCACCCACCTGCCAGGCTCCAAGCTCACTTCTCGGGTGCCTTGCCGGCTCCCACCTTCCGGCCAGTGGAGCCCCGGGCCCCCTTGTCTCTGCCTGCTGGGGGCCAGTCGTCCTGGCGGGGAGGCGTCCCAGGGGCTGGCTCCTCAGAGGGCCGCTCTTTGGGCTTGCGGCCCCGCTTCTTCCCGCCGGCTGGACTCTTCTCTTTCCTGGGCACCGGGGAGTCCACGCCCTTGTGTCTGGGAGGTGGGTCTGCCGAAGTGCGGAACCAGTTCTGAGGAAAGAAGCAGCAGTGGAGACCCTGGGGTCTGGGATGCTGGAAGGCAGAACAGAGGGGCCCTAGGGTCTCGGGCACCCAAGCTTCCAGAGAAGCCACGCTGAAGAGAAACCAGAAGCTTCCTCAACAGTGGCAACTTGCTCAAGCAAAGGCAACAAGAGCCGTCATCCCAAACCCCTCCTCTGCCCCTCCAGGGGGCCAGTCCATCCAGCCGCACCTCCGCGTGGGTCTTGAGGATGTGGTACTTGACGCCGCTCTCGGAGCTGAATTCCTTGGGACACAGCAGACAGCAGTACTTCCCCACCAGGTGGTCCCCCTGTAAGGCACACGGCAGTCCAACCCCCAGAGGTTGGCCCCCACCCTGGCCCTTGGAGGACCAGAAGTTCCCAGATGCAGCCGGGACCCCCGCACTTGTGAGGCCTGTCTGGATGGGTGCCCACTGGGTGGGCTTCACAGACCCACAAGGCTGCTGTGACAGGACCACCAAGGTGCCCTGGCTTCAGGGGAGCACAGCGAGGGTGGCAAGAGGCAGGTGCTCCTGGGAAGGGTCACAGCCCATTGCCGAGGGTGCCAGCCCCAAGCCTGGGTCGACCACCGACCTGTTATCAGCACAGATGAAGAGCCCATAAACAGGACCAACCACGACTGACTTACGGCTGGGCTGAGGCTGGGGGGACAGTGTCCTGGGCTGTGCTGGCCCTGAACCCCAAAGGGCCAGGGGGACACACAATATGTATGGGGCCCTGGGGAGCAGCTGGGAGCACCGAGCACACGGCTGAGGGGAGGGCCTGGGCACTGACCTTGCTGCAGCTGGCCAGGTGGGCCTTGAGGCCGGACACGCTGGAGTAGATGGCTTCACAGCACTGGGGGTGGGAGGTGACTGTGGGGGTGGGCTCTCCAGCAGGAGCCCACTGACCACCATGCACCCCTTGCCCAGCCCAGGGGACCTGGGGCCCATCTGAGGCAGGTGGGTGGGTGTGATCCCAGGAGTCAGGGGGTGTGGCAGGCTAAGCTGCTAGGGCTGAGGTCAAGGCCTCTCTGCCTAAGAAATTCGGGCCACATGGACGTCTCCCCCCAAGGCCAGCCCTGGGCCCTCTGTCCTGAGTCCCAGAGCTCCCATGCCTGCCCAGCCTGCCCAGCTCACATCGTTGGGGCAGTTGACATGGCCTTTCTCCTTGACCTCATTCTTCCATGCCTCCAGCAGCTCGGGGTTCAGCACAGGAAGGCCCGGCCGTGTGTAGTTGAGCTACAGACACAGCAGTTGACAGAGTGAGCTGGAGGTGACCCAGACATGTCCCTCCACAGATGGGAGGTCTGCACCCAGGAGGCGGGTAGACTGCCCAAGTTTCTCCCGGAGGCCTTAGGCTCAGAGACAGGGAGGAGGGCTCACCCGTGCAGTCTCAGGCACCAGGTCGTCCTTCATCCGCCGCTTGGTCCAGTCTCGGGCCAGCTCGTCCTCTGCGATCTCCTGCAGGTGGAACACAGCGACCTGGGCCGACGTGCGGCGGATACGGCCGCTGGGAGTCCGTTCCACACCCAGTGGGTCCTCAGCCTCAGGGGCCTTGTCGGAGGGATCCTCAGGGGGCTGTGGAGGGGGAGGCTGGGTGAGCTGGTGAGTCACGTGGCATGTGCCACATAGAGAACACAGGAAGAAGCAGGCTGGGGACACAGATGCCCATCACAGGTTCATTCCCCTGACACACCAGTCCCCCAGGAGGAAAGAGGGAGCCCACAGGGCAGGTGCCTGAGGAACGAGTGCCCAGGCTGTGGCCACTCACCGGGGCTGTGTGCTCCGAGCGCACGTGGTAGTCATGGCCTGCTTTGGAGCGGTAGGGCTTGCCACAGTGGGTGCAGGGGAAGGATGGGGTCTCCACTTCGCAGGGTGGCTTTCCGCAGCGTCGCTGATGGTACTGGTAGCCCATGAGACTAGAGAAGGCAGCCCCGCAGCCCTGGGGTCCCAGGGGGCAGGTGAGTGTGGCGAGCAGCCAGGCCACATCCACCTGGCATCCACACCCGCGGGCCCACTCACCTCTTGGGGGCAGCGCAATCGGCCCATCTGCTTCAGCACCTTCCGCAGCCGCTCCCGCTCCTCCTGCTCGCTCCCCTCCGAGGCCTCGGCATCAGAGGGCTGAGGGGCAGGCCAGCCTCAGTGCCCCCGCCACCACGGGGCCCGCCCCTGCCCGGGGCCACGGACGTCCCTAGTCAGGCACGGGAGCCACTAAGCTGTGCTAGTGAGAGGCCAGTGGTCAGAGCTGGGCAGGTGGGGGGAAGGACCCACAGCCAGTGGGCAGCATGGACGGCAGCTGGGCCCGGGGGAATACCTTGGTGCTGTGCTCAGCCATGGTGTGGTAGTTGAGGCCGGCCTTGGACTTGAACTGCTTCCGGCAATGCTGACACTTCAGTGCATCCTGCAGCTGCAGACGGGCATGCTGGTGAGAGGTCGGTCCTGGGGTGCCTCCCCTCTGAGCCAAGGGGCAGCCCTACCTTCTGACACACTTCCATGTGCTTCTTAAGCCCGACGAGGGTCTTGCGGGTGACCACATTGCAGGTGGGGCAGACAGCTTCCCCCCGTTCATGGATGGCCCGTTGCCACTGCTCCTCAGGGCCACCTGCAGGGCAAGGCCAGGGCCTCAGGTGAGGGGCAGGAGCTCCCAGATGACCTTAACGCCAAGCACAGAACCCAAAGCCCACACTCAGTCCCCGTCCCCGTGGTTCAGGATCCGCCCCCATTGTCAAGACTTGGCCTGTGCCTCGCCACTCAGCAGCCCTTACCTGTGGCTGGGTGGGTCATAGGAGCCGGCAAGTCTTTGCTGACAGTGCTGGTGGGGGCTGGCCCCTTCTTCCGTGTGTCCTCAGGGCCTGGACCCTCCTGTTTCTTGGCCCGATGGATGCGGGCTTTGTCTTCTGCCTTGGCCAGCCCTGTGTGCACAGGCAGGGAAGGTAGGTGTGGGCTGAGGGTGTGGCCACAGCACGCGTCCGGCCCTGAGGATGTCTGGCTAGTCTAGGCCTCACCTTTGAGTCCAAAAGTCCCTGAGATGGACGGCTGCTCACCCGTAAACTTCTTGGGTGTTTTCTGTTTCCTTCCTGACTCAGGAGAGAGAAAACAGAGGCCAAGACTCTGGTTAAATAACCATTGGTAAGCTCAGGCCGGCTGTCTGCTGGCCTCACCCTGGCCGCTGCCTCCCAATCCCATCTTACTGTGCTTTATGCGCTCTGCACCCTCCTCAGGCGGGGACCCGGGGCCTGGAGCCCTCGGCATCTCCTTGCCCCCTGAGGGCCTGCTGCCCAGAGAAAGGGGGCTGCTACTGGGGTCTGTGCTCAGCTGGAAGGCCGAGCTCTGCTCCGGGGTGGCCGGGCCGTATTCCCCGTTCTCTGGCCTCGCGTGCTTGGGCGGGATGGGGCAGGCGTCCAGGCCATCCGCAGTCCTGCAGGGAGCAGGGAGTAAAGACAGGAGGGCCTGCTCTGGGCCCTGTTACCCCTAGACTGCCCTGGGGACACCCAGTCCCAACCCAGCAGGAGCCCCCATACCTTTTCTTACCACTGCTCCTCCCTGCAGCCCGAGGAGCTTTGTTCTCAGACTTGGTCAGCAGCACCACCTTGCAGGGTGGTGTATGTCTGCTGATGGCAATGGGCCTGCTGACCGTCACTGGCTTACTGACCACAATGGGCCTGCTGACTGTCACTGGCTTCGCAACTGGCACGGGTTTTGTAACTGTTACAAGCTTTGTCATCGGCACCGACTTGTTGATGGTCACTGGCTTGGTGACTGGCACCGGTTTGTTGACTGTCACTGGCTTGGCAATTGGTACAGATTTGGTGACTGGTATAGGCTTGTTGACTGGCATGGGCCTAGTGACCGGGACAGCTTTAGTGACCGGCACGGGCCTGCTGATCGTCACTGGTTTGGTGACTGGCACAGGTCGGCTGACTGTCACTGGTTTGGAGACTGGCATGGGCCGGCTGACTGTCACTGGCTTGCTGATGCCAATGGGCTTGCTGATAGTGACAGGTTTGCTTACTCCAATGGGCTTGCTAACCCCAACTGGCCGATTGACAGTGACTGGCCGGCTGACTGGCCCAGACTTGGGGGCAGGCAGGGGTCGGTCCATGTGGTTCCAAATCCGGTGCTTCTCCAGCTGGGTCTTGGAGGTAAATGCAGCCTCACAGAAGGGGCAGGGAAAGGTCAGCCTTTCTGAGATGGCACCCTGGGTGGAGAGGGCAGACATGGACACTCCCAAGCCAAGAGCCAGGGCAGGGTGGGCCCCAGGCCTCCCCTTCCCCAGGCTGCAGTCCCTTACCCCTTGGCACCGCTGGTAGTGGTACTTGAGCCCGTAGATGCTGGGAAATTCCAGCCAGCACCCTGCGTTTGGACACTTTACCCTCGAGTGCGCCTTGAACTCGTCTTTCCATTGGTTCATCAGGGAGAGCTAGGCGTGGGAAAGGCCAGGCTGCTGACCCTGCAGTCCCCCAGGCCTCTACCGGCCAGCCCCAGACTCAGTACTGTCCCGAGGCCTGCAGGACCCCCACACGTGGTCCACTGTGCCCCGTCTCGAAGCCCTCGTGCACGGAGCAGCAGGCAGATGCGGGCAGATGGCTCAGTGCTAGACCCACAGCAGGCAAGCCCGGCAAGGCAGTGGGCTTCCAGGCACACCTCGCAAGAGCCCACCCAGCCCTCGGGGAGCTCACGGGAATGTCTCGGAGTGCCTGATTTTCGGCTTTTGGACGCCCCTTTTTCTTCCCTTCCGTCCTGTCGCCAGCTGGACTTTCCAGGTCAAAGCAGAGTGCGGCCTGGCTGGGCACCGTCTGCCCAGCCCGGACCACTGGCAGCCCTGCAGCACACGACACATCAAGGCTCAGAGAACACATTCCCCACAGCCTTGTCTGCCAGCCGGAGGGCTGGTCCTGCCTGGAATGAGCCTCATGTCCCCTGCACTCACGGAGACAGGGAGGCAGGAGGCTGTGGTCCGCTTTGGTCAGGAACCCTGGGACCCGGCTGCCCCCTCCCCAGGAAGCCTCTCAGGAGGCCAGGCTGGGCACCCAGGAGCCTGACATCCAGGGAGGCCTACACCCAGCACTGGCTGCCCAGGACCACTGGCCGCCTCCTCTTACCCAGCTTTGGGGGCTCATGGAGCACAGGAAGTCGGACCTCGTTCCGGCTGCCATCCTTCCCAGGCCCGCTCCTGCTGGATCCTGGGACCCGGCGGCCTCCTCCAACACAAAAGGGATCGGTCATCTCTGCAGAGCAAGTGGACAGACCCGCCGGGCCCACTCAGGACCTGAAAATGGGCTGCCCTTGATCCCACCCCCAGACAGGCCCTCGCTCTAGCCTGAGGAGGGGGAGCCTGCTGGCCTGTGCTTTTAGTCACAAGGGAAAGGTTGGGGGTGGGGGGGATTAGTTCTGGTTTAGGGGAGGGGCTGCCCAGCCAAAGTCTCCCTGGATGGCCAGGAGACACCATCAGCTTGGAACAATCTCGCCCTGTCCTGAGACCCTCACCTGCTCCAGGGGGGTCCCTGTCTCCAGACACACCACCCCAGAGAACGCCAGGGAAGGGAGGCCAAGGACACCCCTCGGGGGCCAGTTATGACACCAGTGTGGCTGCGGGTCACAGCTGTGCTGGCCTGGCACCTAGGAACACCTTCCCCCACAGCCCCGCCCAGACCTAAGGCCATGCTTGGGACCTGAGCCTACACCGTTGCATTCTTCTCCCCAGGACACGGTCTAAACAGCCAAGGTGGGCGCTAAGGGCCCCTGCCCTCCCTAGCTGCACACATACCTTCTCCAGTCCCTGTGCCAGCAGAGCTGCCCTCCCAGAGCCTCTGCTCCACCTCGTTTCCAGCCGCAGCCCCTCCAACCAGATGGACACCTCATGCTGGACCCCTCCACCACTCCTCACCTGACTGGCCTCCTTGACTCCACCCTCAAGAAATCCTCTGTCTCCAACCTACAGGCCCACCAGCCCCACTTCAGAGACCACAGACTCTGAAAGCTGGGGCGACTCTGAGTCCAGCCCAGTGGGTCCTCCCACAGGGACTTTCAAGGCCACAGAAGATGGTAGGGCTGGGTGGGCAGGTGATCCCTCCCCTGATGATTTCTAACTAACTTCTTTTTGTTTTTTTCAGGTCATGCCTCATGGCATGTGAGATCTTAGTTCCCCAACCAAGGATGGACCCTGAGTCCCCAGAGTTTGAAGTGTGAAGTCTTAACCACTGGACCACCAAGAATGTCCCCTCACTAACTTCTGTCAGAAGAAAACAGAAGGATCTGCTGTGCCTAGGAGGTCCAGAGGCCCTCTAGGCAAGCTGAGGTCAGAGATCAGGACAGTCACTATCCATGGCCACAGGGTGGCCTGTATCCAGGGCATGAGGGAGGCGGGTAAGGGTCCAGAGGGCTCTAAACAAACTTCTCTGGAAGTGCTCACACTGATGTTTCCAAGGAGACAACCCAACAGCAGTCACCCCAACCCCACAATGACCCCAGCAGCCAGTGGTGTGGGTACCTGCTGAGCCCGGCCTTTCCAGTCCTCCTCCAGCCTGGGTGAAGAATTCAGAGTTGGGTGGTCGGGGGCCAGAGCTGGCCTAGGAGGCAGAGACCCTCCTTCCATCCAAGGCCTGTGACTAGCGCTCCAGGAGGAGAACGGGCTTCTACCCTCCCTGAGGAGCCAGCAGGGTCGCAGAGGTGGGACCCTCACTGGGGTGGAAAGGAGTGCCACGCGCTGACCGCAGGCGACGCTGGAGGCGGGACCGCCATCCAGGCCGCTCAGCCCGGGACCCCGGCCTAGGCCCGGGCGCGCGGATGAGGCCGTCCAGGGGACGCACACCTGGAGACTGGCCTCGCCACCCACCTGTCACCTGCGGCGGGTGCGGGCCCGGCCTGGCCCCGGAAGGGCCGATCCCGCGAGCCTGGGGGGGGGGGGGGGGCCCAAAGGCAGTGAACCAAAATGGCGACTTTTTCTGGAGAAGGAGGAGGCAGGGACGCGGCGCCAACGCCGGGCGCGGGGAGAGGCGCGGGGGTCCGGGCGCGGCGGGGGCGGCGGGCGGGGGCTCGGGGCCCGGCCCCCCCGATTTGAGCGCGGGGTCAGGGTCGGGGGCGCGGCCAGCGCGGGGGCCGCCCGGGGGCGCGGCCGAGGGCGCGGCGGGGCGCTTACCTGCGGCGCCCAGCAGGCCGGGGCCGGGCGCAGGCCGGGGCCGGGCCGGGCCGGGCCGGGGCGCTGGGCGAGGGGCGCAGGGTCCAGGCGGCGCAGGCTGCGCGCCGCGCTGCGCACATGCGCGCTCCCGCCCCTCCCACCTTTGACAGTTTTACTGTTGGGGGGGAGGGGGCGAACTCTCGCGGTATTCCTGCTGCTATTCCGCGACGGGAAAGACGGATCGGGGGAGGGGGCCTGTTCGGCCATTCCCTAGCCCAGCTGCCTGTCGGTCCCCTGCGTGGGCTGGGCCGCCAGGGCAAAGTGGCCAGTGACGCCTCCGTCCGGCTGGAGGCGGTTTTCAGACACTGGGGTAAACTGAGGCACGGTGGGGCCCTGGGTGCTGTCCTAAACCCAGCGCGCACGGATGGAAGCGATTAGGCATCACTAAGACTTGGCCCGGGGAAGGTGTGGCCATGAAGGCCGGGCTCTTCTGGGACCTTGAACTCCTGGCCCCGGGGGCTTTGAGCCTGCCAAGCAGGATCCAGCCTCTTTTCCAATCAGCCCTGTAACCACGTCTGCCTGTGGCCACCCTCGGGAAATGGCCTGGCTCCTGGCAGTGCTGGAGCAGTTTGAGGCCTATGGGCTTTCTTAGGGTTGCTGATCGTCCTCTTACTAATTTGGGGGGTGGTCCTAGACCAGCCACCAGTGCCTTGCTCCTCTGTGCCCCAGAACTGGGCCCTCCACGGGGCTGCTGGTATCAGATCTGGATGTGACAGGGCACCCACCTCACCGCGACTTGGAATGAATGAAGTGGAGTAGAGGAATCGTTTGGAACCGGAGGCACAAGGAGCTCCCTTTTCCCTGAGGCCCTTTCCACCTCCTCTGCTTGTCCACACTGGAGCAGGTGCGGATGCACTTGTGGGCAGGGCACAAAGCTCATGGGCAGATGTGCATCCTGTTCTCCCAGGGACCCTTTGGAGCTGTTTCTCTCAAGGCATGTCCACTCTGGGGCAGAGGCAGGGCGGAGCTCTCTGTTGAGGGGGTCAGTCAGTCCTTCCTTTGGAAATCAGAGCCAGAGAGGCCTGGGTGATCCCTCTTTAGTTCAGTGTGCCCACCCCAGGGTCATGACCTGCAGGATTTTGGAAGGTAGTCAGTGTGTATGCCCTGAGGTGTGCCCAAGGCTATAGCTTTCCCCATGTAAGTCTGCATGTGTGGCATGTCAACCCCTCTGTGTAGGTGTGTGTCTGCGTGACCACGTGTATCAAGCCATCAGGGTGTCAGGGTGTGTCTGTGTCCCATGCTAGGTGGAAAAGATGCCTGTCGCATGTTAGGACCCAAATGGTTGGCCAGGTCTTAGTGAATGTGTGTCCAGGCCACAGGGCAACATGTGATGTCCTGTGTATTGTGTGTGGGGGGTGCACTGTGCCTGGTGTTTTCTGTGTGTTAGGAGGTCACAGGATGCTGGGACCCTGTGTGTCACTGTGTTGTACATCTGGAGTCAGGTGTCTATGTGTCCAGCTGCAGGGGCCTCTCTGTTAGTATTTGTGTGTGTCTGGTTGCTGTGTGGGTACATATGGGGGCAGGTACTGTGACCCGTGTGCTTCTTATGTCAGGGCATTACCTTGTGTGAGGGGCTAAATGGGGACCCCCAAAAGACAGTCATTTCAGGTCGCTGGAACCCATGAGTGGGACCTTATCTAGAATGAGGGTTTTGCAGACGTGATTACGTTAAGGATCTTGAGATGACAAGATGATCCTGGCTTATCCAGGTGGGCCCTACCTCTCAAGACAAGTGTCCCTGTAGGAGGGAGATTTGACATAGAGGTGATGGGACCCCAGAATTTAGGATGGAATGGTGTGTCCATGAGCCCAGGGATCCCCTGGGGCAGTCCCTAGAAGCTGAGAGAGACAAGGAGGTGTTCTTTCCTGAGTCCTGGAAGGAGTGCTGCCCAAGGATTTCAGACTTGTGGCCTGTAGTGCAATGAGAAAGCTCGTTTCTGTTGTGTTAAGCCTCCTCGTTGTGGTCATTTGTTAAGGCAGCTCTAGGAACCTAACACACCTGTGTCTGCATCTGGGCGCAGCCCACCTGGCAGTCAAGGCAGACAGGGTCTTGGGGTAAACAGGTGCTCAGCCAGGGTGGGACACCACTGCCCCCTAGTGGCCCCAGCTGGAGGCAGGTGCTCAGGGCATCCCCCCTCCTCCCAGGCCCAGGCTTGTGCCCCCTACCAAGGCTCTGAGCAGTACTCCCACATGCCTGGATAGTCTCAGTCAGACACCACACTCCGGGCACTTGAGAACCATGTTTATTTCTGATTCTTTTGTCAGAATAGAAAAACGCAAAACAAGGAAGACGAGACAGGAGCACAGTGAGGTTGAGGGGCAAGACAAGGAGGCACTAGGGGAAAGAGGAAGGATCCCTGGAAAGGGTCATGTCATGATGGCATGAGATGGCTAGGGATATTCAGGGGAGCTGGGAAGGACGAGGGGCTTTCCATGGTGGGTGCAAAGGGTGGGAGGCACCAGGCCAGTTGTTCACATCCCATGTGAGACTTGCAACAACCAACTCCCCATCCTGAGGCCGGCTCAGGGCACAGCTTGGGGGCTCATGGCTCAGCGCCAACTGACCCGAGGTTTTCAGAGTCCCTTAGGGGAGTGAGTGGGCAGAGGAACAAGAGGTGGGGGCTGTTGGGACCACCCTAGCTCTCCCTCTGCTCGGCTGCACCAGTCCCAAATCTGGGGCCCTCTGACCCACTGAATGGTTGCATGGGTCTCCATTCATGGTTGCACGTTGGCTGGGTCTCCCCTGGGTGGGCAGCTCTTGTGTGGATCCAGGTTTCCTGGAATGCCCACCCATGATTAAGCCTGGAAGGCAGTCTCTATGACCCTGGGAGGAGAGAGCCATTCCGCAACCTAAGGCCAGGACATAGCTGAGCCTGGTATTGGTGCCGGGTGTGGTCCTCCTTGTGTCTGTCAGGTCTTGGGTGTGAGTCCCAGTCCCCATGAGTAGATGGAACATAGTAAGGGTTTCAGAAATGAGTGAGAGCACTTGACATGGTGCCCGGCTGGGCCTGTGCTGATGACCACTCTGGGTGGGAACAGGGGAGGGGCACACACCAAAGGGAGCCTTGGCAGTTCATCCCACCTGTGAGGGCAGTCCTCTCAGGGCTGGGGAAGGGTGTGAATGGGGCAAGGGGCAGACCTCTGGCCTTGGGAGAGGGCAGGGTGCCTAGAAGACGCATGACTCAGCAGGCAGTGGAGGGCGGACATCAACACGGATGAAGGGAATATAAATAAACAGGCTCCCTGGGAGTCTGGGGGGATGTCAAAATCTGCTCTGGCTCCAGGTGGCTGCCCTGCATGCTGCCAGCAGCACCAGGGGGTGGGCCTGGGCTCAGGTCCTGGTAGGAAGGACCCCACCTGGTAGGCAGCCCCTGCCTACCCGCTCACCCCACTCCCAGGCAAGCCCGGAGCGCACAACCAGAGATGGTTGGCGGTGGTGATGCTGGTCCCACCTGTCCACTGGGCTAGGCTTGGCCACGCAGGGTCTGAGGGGCTGCGAGGCCAGCTCTGCTTCTTCCTCACTGAGGCTCCGGTCACAGTGCTGGGGTCCGGATTTCAAGCCTAGGCAGCAGCTAGGACATGTTTCCGAAGGAAGCTAAGAGGTGGATGGGGGTAAGGAGAGTCGGGGGCCTCTGGCATTGTCCCCTCTGCCTGGGTGCAGGATGGCCCTTACTGAGGTCCCAGGCCACCCTCCTGAGGTCAGTGTGCCCACCCTGCACGCCAGGGCTCCTCCAGGCCCAGTCCCCCACCCCCAGGCCTGTCTGAGCAGGTCGGCTCTCTTGGCTCCTTCCACTGACCTTGGCTGAGCAGCTGCAGGCTCCGCCCCTCCTCGCGCACCTGCAGGTGCAGCAGCTGCTGCAGCACCTCCTGCCGCTGCGCCTCCTGCGCCAGCCCCATCCGCTGCAGCTTCTCTGCATTCAGCCGCAGCAGCGCCCGGCCTGTGAGGGAGGGGAGAGGAGAGGGGTGGAGCCCAGGTCACCATCAAAGGGGCTTCAAGAGCAAAGGCAGAGACAGAGGAAAACATAAGTGGGGTGGGCAGAGACAGAGACTCAGACAGAGACTCAAAGAGACAAGGCAAGAGAGGGAGAGAGGTGAAGGGCAGGTAAGGATGAATGGAGACTAAGCAGAGCAAAGCCAGGTGACAGCAGAAACAGAGGAACTGGGAGAGATGATGACCCAGAAGAAGAGGAAACCGAGAAAGAGGGGATGGGGGAGGAGCCCCACGCCCCTGCCACACCCCAGCTCCCACCCCCCAGGCACCAGTGATGGCGTGCTGAGAGAAGGCCTCCACATAGACGAGGTAGTTGTGGGGACAGTGTTTCTTGAGCCACTTGCAGACGTCCTGCTGACTCCACAGGACCACAGGCCTCGTCAGGCCACCCAGCGACGGACTCGTGTGGTATAGGCCATAGTGGTCAGAGTATAGCCGGCCCTGTGGGGAGAGGGGTGGCTGGTGGAGAGAGGTGGCAAGCAGGGCAGGTGCTGAGGTGGGTATAGTCAGTGGGTGGGTACCTGGGGGGCCTCGGTGCCAGGCTGCTGCAGGAGCTTGACCGGCCGGCCTCCAGCCGCCCTCTGGCTTCGGGAGTCATGCCACGTGAGGCTGGTACCCGGTGTACGAGGTAGGGGGCAGGGGATGTTCTCGGCCGACACCGTGTGATCCAGGAGGGTCCGGCAGAAGTTGAAATGGGCAGTGGCTGCAGAGTAGGGGTGCTTGGTCACAGCGGTCAGGGACAGGGGCTCATCTCCCTGTGAGCTGGCTTCCCGCCGCCCATCTTCCCTCCACTGAAGGGGAGAAGCACTTTCCCAGCTAGGGGTTCGCCAGCCCGCTAAACAGAAGGAAGTGTGCAAGAGCTGTCTTCAGGACACAACCTTTGGGAAGCACAGTCTGTGCTCTGGCAAGTTGGATGTATTTTTTTTTTTTAATTTGGCTATGCTGGGTCTTAGTTGCTGCATGTGGGATCTAATTCTTTGACCAAGGATTGAACCTGGGCCCCCTGCATTGGGAGCACAGTCTTAGCCACTGGACCACCAGAGAAGTCCCTTGTTGGATTCTATTTAATTAGCGTGAGACATGCCTGCCAGGGAGCTTCACATTCAGAGCCAGGTGAGGCACTAGCCTGTCAGCCCTGACCCCTCCTTCAATGGCATAACCACATCCGACCAGGGCGCACATACAGGACTTGCCTGTGAGGAAATACTGACCTGAGCACCCTGGAAGCCCCTGTGTGGTGGTGAGACCCCTATGGCTGGGCTGCCTGCCCACATCATCAAAGGCACCCAGTCCCTGCAGCCCTCCCTGGCATTCCTTCAAGGCTCGGCCTCTTCCTGCTGTGCTCATTGGCTATGATTCATGAACAAGAAGCTGAACTCAGGGCAAGCCCACAAGGCTCCTGCTCCCCCAACCCCACCCCCCAATCTCTTGCAGGCCCCCAGCCCAGGGCAGCTCCTGGCACTCCCGCACTGGTCAGCACAGACATGCAGGCTACAGCTACGTGCTCAGGGACCTTAGCTGACACCTTCTGCTTTCTCTTCCCACACCAACTTCATTACACTCATCACATTTTAGTTTTATGGTCATTTCTGTGCTGATTGCTGACACAAGTCGGGGAGGGGGGGCAGAGCCCCGGACAAGCCCCTCCCAAAGCCTCGCACAGGTCTTTGGACACAGGAAATGCCCAGAAACATTGTGAATGACTGAGTGGATGGATGTATGGTATCCACAAGTCAACAGCACGCTGGGGACAGACAGAAAGCAGGGGCCAGCCTGCCCCATTTTCCAGCATCCAGGCCTTGACTCAGCAGGCAGGATGGGGATCCCAGCCCGGGGTCCTCCACCCACCCCATCAGCAGGACGGGTGAGAAACCCTCATTATGACAGACACAGCTCCTCACCTCACTGAGGGTTGGCTTCGGTGATGTGCCCAGAAGGTTTCAATACTGAGGGAAACCCACATCCTTCTCCCACTCTTTCCTTCCCATTCCTGCAACTTTCTGTAACTGGATGGCCACCGGTAACTCTAAACTTGAGGTCTAGGGTCAGACAGAGGGTGTGGCCAGTGTGGCTGCTGCCTAGCCTAGGTGGGTTCTAGTATGGAGGAAGGAGACACATTCTAAGCCAGCATCCTGAGGGGATGGGCACTCGGGTCGCAGGGCTTCGCCTGGTTTGGCCTCTGGGCGGGATAGCCAGTTGGAAGTCTCTGCCCGCGCTGCACCTGTCTTGGGCCAGCCAGGCCCCGCCCATTTCCTCCCCACGCCGGGGGAGGGCTCTCCATCCGTCAGACTGTCCGTCCCTCCCTTCCAGCCCCAATGTCAGAATTTCAGAAGGAAATGGGGCGAGGGCTCCCGAGCTGTCCGTGGCCTTGGCCCCCTCGGGACCCCACTGCAGGGGCCGAGGGAGATTTACTACGCGCGAAGGAAAAGGTGACCGCAGGGCGGTGCTAGCCTGGGGACAGGAGCCCCGGCGGGTCACCTCCCCCAAGCCAGGGCGTGCCTACCCCCAAGCCCTGACCGCCGACCCCCAAGCCCTGACAGCCGCCCCCGCAACCCCCGCCCTCGACTCAGCGCGGGACAAAGACATTGGGGACTCGGTTCGGCCGGGACGCGCCCCCTGTTCCGACCGCGGGGGCAGTTTAGAGTACGCTAGGACCCGCCCCTGTCCCTCCGGTCCTCAGAGCCCACAGACAGCGATAGCCCCGCGCCCCGGTCCAGCCCCGCTCACCATCCACATCCCGACGCTCCCCGAAGCCGGCGCGCACAGCCCCGGCACGGCCTCGCGGGGGGCTCGGCTTGGTTCTCAGCTCCGTGAACATGGGGCCCGCGAGTACCCCGCCAGTGCTCACGCCCCTCGCCGGGCGCAGGGCGGCCCGTGTGGCCGGCGGGGAACGCGCGCCGCCGCCCCGCCCCAACCGGCCCCGCGCCTGAGCCGGTCCCCGCGCCCGGCGAGTCTGCGCGGCGAGGCACCTGCCGCCGAGCCCTGAGAGCCGGGCGCGCTCCGGGAGCTCCGAGGGGTGTCGGCGGCGCGCGGATCTGCGAGCGCGGAGGGCGGCTGCCAGGGCAAGGGGCGGCCGTGCGCACCTGGGCATGACTCCAAGAACGAGTGACTCTGTGCAGCTGCACGGCGTCCAGGCGTCCGCAGGAGCACCTGAGGCAGGGACCGAAAGGGGAAAGGGTATCCTACTTTCTCCTGGGACCCTCTGCCCTCTGGGGCGTAGGTCAATGGCTAGACCCACCCCTCCCCTCCATTCTCCTATGTCAGTTTACTTACCCATTCCTTTATTCATGCATTCTGCAGACCTTTACGGAGGTCTCCCTGGGAATGGGCACGTTTCCCCAGAGAAGCCAGTTTGACCGTCTCAGTCCACACCACACTGTGAGCTTCAGGAGGACAGCAGGGTCTCTCCCCTGCCTTCTGTAGCTCTGGAATCTCACTCAGTGCCCAGGACGTCGTGTCAAAAAGGGGTCGGCTGGGGACAGGCAGGAGAGAAAAACTCCGAGGAGGCTGCAGCAGGCAGAAGCACTGTACTTGCTTCCGAACTCCAGTGAGAAGTGTTAGGGTGGGCTGGCAGCTGCCTCCTCCAGTAGAAGGCCAGACTCATGACCAGCTTTTTGCTTTGCCAACAACCTGATGGCTCTCTCCAGGTATATGTGGGGGCCAGAGAATGTCCCACAGCCATCTCAGCAAAGGTGCACATGGACACTCAGACATGTATGCAGGACAGTCCTGCATGTCCACCTCAAATGAGTACGGATGGTCTGAGTTGCATCTGTGCCTACCAACACACAAAGAATTCACCCGCATGTTGTGACCACCCATGCTCACATACTGGCTTGTTCTGCTGCATTTATTTTCATCAATTAACTCTTTAGGGTCTGGGTTCTGAGCCTCTCTGGAGTCACGGGAATGTTCAGGGTATAGTGGGGGTGTGGGAAGGGCCTGAATTGGGCCCAGGAATCTGAGTGTTGAGAGTCAGGGCAGTAGACTGCACACGGGGGCACAGCGATCACGACACATAACAACCCACCAAGCTCTACACAACGGCCTAGGTGTGCAGCCCGTTCAGGTGTGTTAGGCCCTGACCCAGGGCCAGGGCGATTCTGAAGGGCAAAGTGTGTGGCTTAGGGAAGAAGAGGACCCATGGGTCCTGCTAGTATAGGAAGGTCTCAGAAATGCATCGAGAACAGGCTGTAAGCAGGGCCGCCCCTGCTCAGTTCGGAGGTCTCGCAGGGCTAGCCCAGCAAGACATCGCTCGCCCGCGGGGACCGGGAGCAGGCGCTCCCGCGCACGCACTCTACGTCTCCGCCCCTTAGCCGCGGCCTGGAGCCGCTGGAAGCTGCCGGAAGTCTTGGTCCATGAACTTCCGCCCGGGGAATCCACGGTGGGCGGGGATGCGTCGTACGGGGCGTTCTGCTTCCGGGGCACGGGTGATGCAGGGGGCAATTGCTTCCTGCGGCGGAACTTAAAGAGTTCTGTGGTGTTTCGCCTCTGGCCGGGTCCAGGGTCTTTTCCATTATTGGCCTTTGGCGTCACCGTCGCCATGAACAAGAAGAAGAAGCCGTTCTTGGGCATGCCCGCCCCTCTCGGCTACGTGCCGGGACTGGGCCGAGGGTGAGGCCTGGAGCGGGCCGCGCGCGGAGGAAAGGGGCCTGGGTTGGGGCGCCAGCCGACGGCCACTGGGAGGACGAGAGCAGGGATGGTTTGGGGTCAGTCTGATCCTTGTGGGAAGAACAGCACGTTGGATTAGGGCAGACCCGAGGGAGGTCGTCTGCCCCGAGGTGCCGGGACGGTTGGAGTTGGCGTGCTGGCTCTGAACCCGGTTTCAGTCCCCAGGGTGGGTGGCAGCACCGTCTTGCCAGTCTGCAGTGGCGATGTCGCGAGTCCCCGTCATGTAGTCGGAGCACCATAGCTACTTTAACCCCTAGGCCAGGCAGACCTGCCAGCCCTGTCTTGAGCGTGACAGCTTCTCTTCCCACGAGCCGGGCTGGAGTCCTCTGTGTGGCCGCTCCCCGTAGTACCTCGTTCACTTCTGAGGTGCTGCTGGTCATATTGCTGCTGCTTCAGACTCTACTCCCCGAGGGTAAGGGGTGGCATTGGTGAGCCTTGGGACTGCGTCCCCCAGGTCCGGTACCTACCGTATATTGTTGAGTAAATGAGCAATCATCATCTCATTTGTTTGTTACTCATTTGGTCAAGAAGACTATTGGGTTTCTTTTGTTGGGAGTATTATGTTCAGCGTTATGCACGTTAGAATCCGGGCACACATAAGTCTAAGATAATTGACAGCGTTTTCAGTGGACTTGCAGTTTAACAGGAGAGATGAGGTATTTGTGTAAATAAGTACATAAAGAGAAACAGATTTACAACTCTGGGGTTCCAGCCGCCAACATCCGAGCCAAGTTTAGAAGGAGGATGTAAGGGTATACAGTTGTGGCAGGGTCAAAGAAGAAACTGACCCATTGTGTGCTGGTCAGTTAAGAAAGAAGATGAAGTGTGGAGGAAGAAGAGGAAGTTGCGAGGAATCTGTGTGGGTGGAACCACAGGAGCAGAAGGACCAGAGCCCCTGTAGGCATTAGAGAGGCAGATGCCTCAGTATACTGTGCTCAGAGCTGCATTGAAGCAGAAGGAGAGCTACATGTGGGGGTAGCTGGAATGGGAGGAGGGATTTTGGCGGTAGATCCTGTAGAATTTGGACACAGATGGGAGGGTTGTTGTTCAGTTGCTCAGCTGTGTCCGACTCTTTGCCACTTCGTGGACTGCAGCACGCCAGGCTTCCCGGTCGTTCATCATCTCCTGGAGCTTGTTCAAACTCATGTCCATTGAGTCAGTGATGCCATCCAACCATCTCATCCTCTTATCGTCCCCTTCTCCTCCTGCCTTCAATCTTTCCCAGCACCAGGGTATTTTCTAATGAGATGGGAGGGAGAAGGAAGCAAAGTTGATGCTGTGGTGCCTGGGGGAGCACTGTCACCATTGACTGAAACAGCCCAGAGTAGCTGTAGGGTGGGACAGAGGAGGAACTCCGACTGGGCCACATTGATTGAGGACCTGGTGGATTGGGAGAGGGGGCTGATTGGCAGGCTGTTGGAAATGGGAGGCTGGGACCTAGAAGCCGGGAGTTCTGGTGCCCAGGCGAATCTCAGAACCTCTTTAGGTTTCTCTCCTGAAGATGGCAGACAAGCAGTGTGTGCGAGCAAAGCTGTATGGAGTTCATTGTCTCTGGGCTCTTTGAAGATTTCCCAGAGGAGTTAGAAAAAGGTGTCATTAGGTGACAGCTGGGAAGTGTCTTGGCACAGGATAAATTGGCGCCTTGGGGTTTCCTGCAGCGCTACTGGTTTCACCACCCGCTCAGACATTGGGCCTGCTCGGGATGCCAACGATCCTGTGGATGACCGCCATGCGCCCCCAGGCAAGAGGACTGTCGGGGACCAGATGAAGAAGAGCCAGGCTGCAGATGATGATGATGAGGATCTTAATGACACCAATTATGATGAGGTGATTTGTGTGTGACAGTGTGCTGTGGGCATTTGATGAGGGGCTTGGAGTAACGGGTATATTGACTGTTTCAGGTCCCCCAGGTTAGGGGACAGCATGTACAGAGTGTGAGGGGGAGCAGGACAAATATAATGAAATGTGCCCTTTTGTGGTTGCTTCAGAAGAGATGCACTTGCTGATATTAGAACTGACACATTGACCAGCTTGGCTGGTCTTTAAAGATGAAAATTTTTTTAATTAAACTTTTATTTTTCTTATTCTTTTTTTGGGGGCTGTGCTGGGTCTTCCTTGCTGCACAGACTTTCTTTGGTTGTGGCAAGCAGGGGCTACTCTCCAGTTGCAGTGAGAGGGCTTCTCATTGTGGTGGCTTCAGTTGTTGCGGTTCCTGGGCTCTCCAGCACAGGCTTAAGAGCTGTGGTGCATGGGCTGCTTGCTCTGAGACATGTGGGATCTTCCTGGATCAGGGATTAAACCCATGTCACCTGCATTGGCAGGTGGATTCTTCACCACTGAGCCACCAGGAAAGCCCTAATGAGGGAAATTGTAAGTGGAATTGGTGGTAATGTTTGTCTTCATTTGTGTTAGTTCTTGTCTTCTTAGTTAATTCTTGTTTGGTCTATGAGGTTTTCTATAAATATATTATAACAGATGGTATTTTTCCTCAGAGGAAAAGGTTTTTAAAAATTTAATTTTGAATTAAAAAAATAAAAATTTAATTTTGAAATAGCTTTTAAGTTATAGAGATGTTTCAAAAATAGTATGGAGACTTCCTGCATACCCTTCACAAGTTTTTCCTCATCTTACATATCCCTAGTACTATTATGTGTTTTTAAAAAATTTACTTATTTATTCTTGGTCGTGCAGCACGGCATGTGCGATCTTAGTTCCCCAACCAGGGATTGATCCAGCACCCCCTGCTTGGGGGTGCATTGGAAACCACTGGACCACCAGGGAGAGTCCTATTTTTATTTTTTTAAGTGTTTATTTTTATTTTCATTTTTATTTTAAGGTATAGCTGATTTACAATACTGTATTTCTGCTGTACAGCAAAGTGATTCAGCTATACACTTATATACATTCTTTTTTATATTCTTTTCCATTATGGTTTATCCCAGGATATTGAATTTAGTTTTCTATGCACCCTAGTACTGTTATTGAAACCAGGAAATTAACATTGGCACAGCACTATTAACTTAAGATCTTACTTCAGTTCCCCTGGTTTTTCCACCTGTGTCCTACTCCTGCCTGGGACCCGATCCAGGATCCCACCTGGCATGTTGTGTCTCCTTAGTCTCCTCTGATTGGTGTAGATACACTCTC